TCCGAGTATAAGGTTTACCTCGTAGTTAACTCCTAATCGGTATAGCGGTAATTAATTAGCCTTATCGGGCGTGAATAGGTCGCCGAATTCTTATAGTAACTCTTCGGGTATAAAGTCCTTTGGGTCTACTAGTTATTTCTTATATAACGCTTTTTCGATATCCTTTAGGCTTACTCCCTAAATTAAGACTTCCTTACCCTTCCGTTATAGTCGTCGAATAATACCCGCGAATATAGATCCTATAACTAAATAGGCGTCGCGGATAGCTTATACTCCGGTAGGTTTCTTTTTATAATAAAATCGTATATTTAATCCGGTTACTCCGTGGTAAAGCCATTTATCTTTAGCGTAATACGTTATATCGTTTTATTCTATCTAGGGCTTCCCGAGGAATACGTTTTAATTAAGCCCGGGCACTATATATACGAATATTCTCTATAGGTAACCGTCGATCTCGAGCTTATAGATAATAATCCCCGCGCTACTAATAGTCTTAGTAGCTTCCGAGAAGCTATTTAGTAGTCGATTCGTCTTATCGACTAATAGTAATTAGAGTCTTTAAGTAAATTATTCACTTATAGTGGTATAGTAGTTATAACTAGTATTAATAAAGGCGAGAATACGCCGTTTATTCACTCTAGCTACTATAAGCGCCGGGTTATTACTAGTATATACTTTAAACGCCTTTTACTCCCGCCGTATCGCGGCTATCGGCTTTAACGCCCGTTTTCGCGTTAAAGCTACTCTTTTTCCGAGTTAGCCTTACTAGTCGATTTATCCCCGCTCTTATCGCGATCTTTTATACGAGTCTCCTTAACCTTCCGGACCGTATCTTAGTTTTCCTTTAGCTTCATATAGTTCTAAACGATATACCCCTTCTTATTATAGTTATAGTACGTCCGAGTCTTTTACTTCGCCTTTCTATTGCTAACACGGTTTACTCCGCCTATCTTCGTATCACTATTAGTATCCTTCTTCGCGGTTATATAGTCTTAAGCTTATTTATCGTAGTTTTATTTAAACTAATAGCCTTCGAGTTTCCTAGTAATCTCTTATACGCCGTTAACCCACGTAGTATAGTGGTTAGTAAGGATTTAGGCGGAGATAAGTTTATCCCTAAGTCGCGAAGTAATCGCTCCTTTAAGGAATAAAATCTATACAGTGGCTTTCTATTCGGTACTACCCGTAAGGGCGATCTATCTTTTAAAATAGGGTAGGAAGGCGGTAAATAACTTATCGGTTCGTTAACGAATCGTGCGTAAGGCTTAGGCGGCCTGTGATTATTCCGTGGGGTTAAAGTAAGTACGATTAAGATACGCTATAAAGTCGTTAGGATCTATAAGCTTACCCGGTCCGTCGCTTTTATAAAAGGCTAATACGACCTATTATACTTTAGGCCCTAGGTAATTATAGATCGTATACTAAGCTTATATATTATTCTAGAATAAGTCGTTATCGATTATAAGCTTTTACCGTATCGCGTAGGCCTACGCGCTCTAGTATACTCGCTTCCCTAAGAACTTCGCCGGGCTATTAACGGTCTTACGGGGTATCGCCGTCGAGGTCGGGGCGACTATTATTATTATCGGCTATGGCGTAGGCGATAGAACCGGTAATAGGGTAGACTCTACTAGTATAAGGATTATCGGGGTCTACGAGGGAGCCGGGATATTCAGGTTAAGCGGCGTTAGGTTCTACGGGGTAGGCGATCCTAGGAGCCGGGCTATAAGCTATTCGACTAACTAGCGTTATCGCTTATCAGTTTCTTCTCTCGCGCGTTATTAGTCTATAAACTAGCGTATTTCCGAGTAGTATTCTTATATCGGAGCGAGCCTTAAGTTAATATCGGTATATTATTTATAAAGAGGGCCTAGCCTTACGTTTAGGGCTTAGTCGTTTTCTTCGAACCGTTAATTCGTCTACTATAACCTATTCGATTCTAATAGGTTATTAGGCGGTAGCGTTAGGATCCTAATCTATCACTAGCATAGCGTATGGGTATCGCTAAGTTCTAGATATATAAACGACTAGATATAGGTCGTGGCACTAAATAAGGTCGTAATAATAGATTATCTAAAACTAAGGAAGGAAAAAGGAAAAGGAGAAAAGTCTATAGCGCTAGGCTAGCTATAAGGTAGCGATAACTTAGCGATATAGGTCCGTTAACTAAGCGCGTAGTCAGGAAGATCCGGAGTATAGTCGGATCCTCTATATCGGGGTTAACCCGTAACACTATTAGTATTATTACTAGCGTAGGAGGGTTAAATAGTATAGGATAGTAGGCGTATATCTAATATCGTATACCCGGAGGTCTTAATTTAAACGTTCTAATAGTTACTTTACGGGGGTATAATATTAATAGTTATAATTATAATCGCGGTATTCGTAGTTATAATTATAATCGCGGTATTCGTAGTTATAATTCTTTATTATATAGCCTATAGTATAGGCGGGATAAAGTAAGATAACTTAACCCTAACTATAAATACCTAAAAGCTAAAGCAAAAAATATAATAACTGTAAATCCTCTATAAAGTAAAAAAAAGAAGAATAAAAAAGAAAATAAACCGTAAATCCTCTATAAAGTATAAGAAAAAAAAACCCTAGTAGTAAAAAAATAGGACCGAATAGCTTTAACGCTTTATAGCCGGGATACTATTCTTTAAGGCCGAGATAATATTCTTATAAAACTATATTTTATCTTTCTTTTACGCCGTCGTTATACCCGTAAAGAGGAGGACGCCGAGCACTTTAACGTTACCGAAAGTAACTAGCGCGGGCGTAGGCGTGGACGCGGTAGAGGGGGCGGTAAAGGAGGCGGTAGAGGGGGGGGCATAGTAGTTATAGTCTTCTTAGCCTTTTTCGATAAAAGCATAAGAGTTCCTATAGTATTATAAATCGATTAGTTAGTATAGGAAAATAAACGTTATAGTTATTTTCGGCTTACTTATAGGCGCGGTACGCTTCTTCCTTTTAGAAGAGGCGGGAGTAGCGGGAGGGGGGGCGATACAAGCGGCGGGAGTACTATTAGCGGTAACGGCGGCGCGGAAAGAATACTTACTGCCCTTAGAATTAAAGTAGTAGTTATTATAACTGCCGTTAGCGATATTAGGGACTATAAAACACTTTACGAACGGTCCGTCTTTCTTACTAGAATACTTATAGTCTTTCTAGACGTTACCGACTAGGGTTATTATAACGGCCTCGCGGTTAGCCGTGCGGTTAAGGTTAAGGTTTTTATCCTTACGTAGTATAATATCCCGTTTAACCTATTTATAGTAACCGTTAATATATAGAATAGTAGTTAATTAGTAGTTAATAATATACCCGAAAGCTATATATAGTTATTAACGCCTTAGAATCTTTATAGGCAGTATTATAAATAAGATCGATTACCTCCGCGCGGGCGACCGTGTAACTATTCTTTATAGGTATTATTTTCTAAACGCGCGTGTTAGAGGAGAAGGAGGCTAGCTAGCGGGGGGACTAACGGGCGGGCGTACGGGTATACGGGTTATCGGCGGGCGGGTTATCGGCGTGCGGGTCTAATAGGCTATACGCGCGGGAGGGGGTATTATCCGGAAAAAATAGTTTATACAGAAATTCTTCTTTTTCTCCTATAATAAAAGCGTTAAAGGGCGAGGGCGACTACGAATCTCGCGAGCTAATAGGGGAGTCGGATAGTACGGGCGGTATACTATAGATAGCGGTTAGTATCGTTGCTTTTTATAGGGTTAACGCGTATATTTATACCCGTAACTTACTTAGTGGCGAAGCTTTAATAACCGGAAGCGGAAAGGAGGGAGAGGGAGTTAAAGGAAATAGAAGAAAACGGTTACTTAGTAAAAATATAAGAAATAATAAGGGTTAATTAATTAACGGCTTTATTCCGTAAATAGGCGCTTTTAGTATAAATAACTAGGAAACTATTTCGTGGCGATACTAAAATAATATACTAAAAAAGGTTATTATAGTATAGAAAACAGTAAATAGCAGTAAAATAATAGGGGGCAGGCGTTTAACGGTTATTTTCGGTTAATTTTCGGTTATTTAATTATAGCGGGGCAGTTTATATTATAAGGCCCCCCCCCCCCCGGGGGGGGGGAGGGGCGGGCCTCCCGCAGGGATAAGCTTTACGGCGTTGCCCGTAGGGCAACCTGCTAAGCTCGTTAGGACAACGACAGCTCTCACGTCCTCTTTATCGGACGGTCGAGGACAGAGGAGGGGTCGATTGCGGTGCGGTGCTGTGCTATGCTGTGCTGTGCTGTGCTGTTATCTAAGGCAAGGTAGAAGAGAAAACTCGGGATACAGGGCTAGATGGCTGGTTACGATACTCGGGCGACGGTTGAGCCGTTGAATAGCTGGGCTGTTGGGTGGGGTGTAGGGAACGTTACATGCGAGGCTGGTGTTGGATCCTACTGGTTGTGATGGTTGTGGCGGCGGTGGTACCCGTACACTAGCGTACCTGAATTAAAGGTTGGGTTGGGTAGTGCGGGGGACCCACCAATTCCCGCTATCTTTCCGAAGGGGAAAGGATTTGAATTAGTTACTCAGCGGTAGGTAGCGTATATAACCTAATCGAACGGGAAAAGCAAAGAGTACCTCGAGTACAAAATACGTGGAGATGAATACCTAGGTAGGTACCTTACCTACTTGACAACCATGTATTCACCAATGTTCATGTTCATAACCCTTCAAATTAGAGCCGTAGCTTGTACGGAGGACGACTTTTAAGATAAGCTTCTCCACACGAAAGAAACCAAAGGAAGGCCAACAGAACCTAGGCAACCAATCAGCGTACTTGCAATCGGTCCTTCAGCCATCAGCCTTCGGCACCCGCTTAGCTTATCGGCAGTGGAGTGGGGGAGTGGGGAAGGAACGTTAGTCAATACGGATGGACGCTGTTTGTCCGCTCAGTTTTATGTATGTCGCCCGATGGCACAAGTACGAAGAGCAAACAAAGAGACGAGAGAAGAGAGAGAGTATGTAGTTGCATGTACCTACTTGGTACACGTGTAAAAGACTTTTCCGACGATAACCTCCCACCAAGGTAGGTAAGGTACTTTTAGGTAAGGTACTTACCTGATCCCAATGCTCGTCCTTTTCGGGCCAAGAATCACAACGCAAGGGAGTCGGCAGTTTTTTCCCGTCCTTGCCATTAGCGCCCGCCGACCAGTTCGACCGTCCTTTTTTCCCTTTCCGTGTCCCCGCGTCGGCTGTCACGTAACTTTGCGACCTCACCTCACCCCCCCCATATTTTCGCCCGACTTGGCCTAGTTCCAGTAGCGGTCGACACGCCGCTCTATCAGAGGGGAAAAGAAGGTTGCTACCTTGCTTTGTCTGCTTTTTACGAAAACGTTCGTCCTCGTACATGTCGAAGCCGAGGACGAGACCGAGGACGAGGCCGAGGCCGAGGCCGAGACAGATAGGCGGCTGCATCTGTCAATGCGACGATCCTACCTCGTCGTCGGGGACGAGGTCCAAGAGAGAGCTCCAACGGCTTGAACTGAGCTTCTAAACCGGATCCATTGCGACATTCGTTCAACGTGCGTGGATCAATCCATCAGACCAGGTCCCAGTGCAGCAGGTTGCTTCGTGGCAGTTTGCACGTCTATGCAGCCCTTGCACCTTCGTGCATCCTCGCGTGTCACTTTATCTCTTGTCACCACTGTCCCTGTCACCGTCATTGTCTGTCAGTGTCTGTCGGTGCCACTTTCACTCACATGGCCCATGCAAGGTAGCCAGCCCATGGAGCCCTTCGATGGGATGGATGGATGGATGGATGGATGGATGATGGATGATGGATGGGAGATGGATGGGAAAAAGGAGGGGGCACCAACCCAACGCCGTGGTCCCTGCTTACTCCTCCTGCCTGGTGATATACATACGCTCTTGCCTTTTTCGGTCTTCCCTTTTCTTTCCCTTTTTTTTTTTTTTTTTTATCTTTGTTTGTGCGAATATATGGGACCCTTATCCTCTATCCTTCCCCGTCTTTACAACGTACATCCATCTCGGCACCCTGTGGATGAGTTTACTGTCTGTTCCCCTACTTCTCCAGACTCCACCGCCTGTCTGTCTCTCTTATTGCCATCACTTCGCCCGTCATCTTACTATCCCCCACTCGGCTTATCCTTTTGGGTCTTGGAGCCTACTTCTTCGGTGCTCGAATAATTGGTAAACTTGGGGGGTTGAGGCGAGCCCGTGAACATCATGGCCGACGGCAACGACAAGACGGCTTCCGTGGAGGAGTCGCACAAGACCCCCACTACCACCGCCGCCACCGACACCGACACCGACACCTACGACGACTTGCCGCCTCGCCCTGATGGCTGGATGTACAAGGCCTTCAAGCTGGGCAGCCACCACTACTGGTACGCCTCGCCCCGCGTCCAGCTGCTCATGGTCTCCCTCGTGTGCTTCCTGTGCCCCGGCATGTTCAACGCCCTCAGCGGCCTCGGCGGCGGCGGCCAGCTCGACTCGACCGCCCAGACCCAGGCCAACACGGCGCTCTACAGCACCTTCGCCGTCGTCGGCTTCTTCGCCGGCTCCATCGCCAACCGCCTCGGCCTGCGCCTGACCCTCTCCTTCGGCGGCGTCGGCTACTGCATCTACGCCGCCAGCTTCCTCTCTTTTAGCCACACCCAGAACCGCGGCTTCGTCACCTTCGCCGGCGCTTTCCTCGGCGTCACCGCCGGCCTCCTCTGGGCCGCCCAGGGCGCCATCATGATGTCCTACCCGCCCGAGGACGAGAAGGGCCGCTACATCTCCTGGTTCTGGATCATCTTCAACATGGGCGCCGTCATCGGCTCCCTCATCCCCCTGGCCGAGAACATCCAGAACCGCGCCGGCGCCGTCACCGACGGCACCTACGCCGCCTTCATCGTCCTCATGTTCTGCGGCGCCGTCGTCGCCCTCTTCCTCTGCAACGCCGGCACCGTCCAGCGCGAGGACGGCTCTCGCGTCATCCTCAAGAAGAACCCGTCCTGGCAGTCCGAGCTGTATGGCCTGTGGGAGACCTTCCGCGACCACTGGTGGATCCTCCTGCTCTTCCCCTACTTCTTCTCCTCCAACATTTTCTACACCTACCAGACCAACGGCCTCAACCTGACCGCCTTCAACACCCGCACCCGCGCCCTGAACAACCTCCTCTACTGGCTCGCCCAGATCATCGGCGCCGTCGTCTTCGGCTACGGCCTGGACGTTTCCCGCATCCGTCGCACCCGCCGCGCTCGCGGCGCCTACGTCGTCCTCGTCGTCCTCACCTTCGTCATCTGGGGCGGCGGGTACGCCTGGCAGCGCCAGCAGCCGCATCGCAGCGAGGCGAGGCAGGACATTGACTGGACCGACGGCGGCTCGCGCTTTTTCGGTCCCATGTTCCTCTACTTTTTCTACGGGTTCTTCGATGCGGCCTGGCAGACGAGCATTTACTGGTATGTTCATCTCTCTCCCTTTAGTTGCCTTTCTTTCTTTCTTTCTTTCTTTCTTTCTTTCTTTCTTTCTTTCTTTCTTTCTTTCTTTCTTTCTTTCTTTCTTTCTTTCTTTCTTTCTTTCTTTCTTTCTTTCTTTCTTTCTTTCTTTCTTTCTTTCTTTTTTTCTTTCTTTTTTTCTGTCTTTTTTTCTTTCCCTTTTTTTTCCCCCTTTTCCCCCCGCTCACATCACACACCTAGGTACATGGGCGCCATCTCCAACTCGTCACGAACAGCCGCCAATCTAGCCGGTTTCTACAAGGGCCTCCAGAGCGCCGGCGCCGCCGTCTACTGGGCCCTCGACAGCCGACAACTCGACTACAGCACCATGTTCTACTCCACCTGGGGCCTCCTGGCCGGCTCCCTCCTGCTCGCCGCCCCCGTCGTGTTCATGCGCATCACCGACACCACCGACGTTGAGCGGGACATCAAGGGCACCGGCGACACTGTCGAGAATGTGGTCGCGCCGGGTGCCCTCGGTGCCGAGGGGAAGAAGGCTGAGACTGAGACGGCTTGATTTTCCTTTAGTCGCGGAGGGTATGTGTGGGAGATATATGCATCCATGGATATATATAGTCTTGCATAACGGGTTTCTACTATTTCTACTTGAGCTTCATGCGCTTACTTACCTCTGCCTGCGTACACGTAGGTGTAAGTTGCCGCCATGTATCCATCATCGGGGACTTCTCCCAAGACGTTTGACCTACCTCAGCATCAAGGAGAGTAGACATCGCAACTGGGCGCAGAAGTGAGGAGGAAGAAGACGGAGCGATTTGGAAAAGAGGGCATCGCTCATTGTGGTTCCTATGGAGCCAGCATCGCAGGCTTCTCCCAATCATTCCCTCCCGTCTCTCCTTCTCTCTCCTCTCCCCTCTCCACCTCTAAAGGAACCACATCTTCAATAATGCAAGAGTCTTTTAAAAAAGCGCTGTATGCATCGCCATATCCGCTTCCCTTTGCTGCCACTAGCCCCTTCAAGCGGGCTGATATCGATATGCTGTATAACAGACAGCTCGGAAATCAATCCCCCTGTATTATGTGGCGTCTCTAACCACACAATGCTCCGCTTAAAAACAAATCATACCGAGGCAGTAAAAGGATCGACTTTGTTCTGTGACCCCTGAACTCACTCTCCCCGTTCTAGTAAGAGGAGAGAGAAAAAAAAAAGTATAAAAAAAAAGAAGAAAAAAGAGGAATGCCATGTATCCGTAGACAAAAGAGGCCAAAACACGGAGGCCAGAAAAAAGGGGGAAGCCTGAATGCCAGGGCACCCGCCTGGTAATTTTTTTCTTCTCTAGCGCGCATCAAGGTTGTAATTGACCATCAACCAGCAACGCTTTGCTGGCTGATAAAACCGCCAAAAAGAAACGCAATATGCCGATCCGCGCTGAACGCCCTAAAGCTGAATGACGAAATGAACTGAGTGGAAGTAAAGGCAATGTATAGGGTAGTGCGGTGTTGAAAATGTGGTGGTTGCCAGTGTTGGCTCTGCCGATGGAGAGAACAAATGGTCGGAACTCGAGTCGACGGGGGTCCAGGTAAATGATGCACCACATCTCGACTCTGGCAACAGCGCCCCCCAGAACATGCCGAGAGAGACCCCCACTCAAAGCTGGACCACAGGACCACAGGACCACAGGTTCATATCGCCCAACTGCCCCTCCGCTCGCGGACACCCCAGGCCAGAGGATCCAGACAATCCAAGTCAGGATGCTGCCTCGCCCACTCGTGGATATACGACTTGAGCGCCCGCCACCTCGGGTTCATCGACTCCTCGGGGACAGACTCCGGCGTCGCCTCGACGATATGTCCCGCCGCCATCTGCGCGGCATCATCTCTCTCGAGGTCCTCGACGCTCATGCGCGAGATCTTGGCCAACTCCTCGTCAAACGCCCGCGCGGTGGCCGGACACCCCAGGGAGAGGTAGTTGAAGACCTGCGTGACGAACGGGTCGTTGAACTCGGCCGCGATCTTGTCCTCGCGGTCGGATACCGCCTTCTCGCGCCGCAACTTGTCGTCGATCCCGTGGAGCATGTGCAGCCCTTTCGCCTGGCCCGACTTGAGGCGGTGCTCGTTCGTGGGGGAGACGGGCGCTTCCGAAGAGAGCTTCGACCCGAACGCGCGCGCGAACGGGTCGCCGGATTGGCCCTGCGGGTGCGGAGTGGACAGCATCTTCGGCGCCTGGAGCGACGAAGGCACAATGTCCACGTCGCTGTCGCTCCCCCTGTAACAATAACCCCTCCACAGACCTTGCTGACCTGACGCGTCCCGGTTCAGCTCGTCGCCCATAGGTACCTCTCGGAAGACGTGTTCCGGCTCCAGCTTGGTGTGCTTGGGCGATGGGCACTTCCTGAATTTCAGATCCCGGCCCAGCATCGGTGGCGAGGCGGCTTTCCGCATCTTCTTGAACTGCGGGTCCTCCCTTTCGGCAGCGAAGCCGAAAGGCCGACCGAGTCCCCCGCGATGATGATTTTGATTTCGGAATCCCGTCTCGGCGGGTATTTGCGAGCGGGGGATAAAAGGGGCGCCCGCCTTGGGGAAGAACCACGCTGGAGGAGGCTCGCCAAAGGCTTCGCTAGCGACGTCCGAGACGGAGGCATCGTGCACAGGAGGGAGTGCTTCGTCCGCGGACGCGGTTGCGGTCGCGGTCGGGGTCGCGACCGTCGCATCCAGCGCCATGACATCTTCGCCCGGGTGGCGGGCCAGAGGTGCCGAGGCCACGGACGTTTTGTCGCTGCTGGTCAACCAAAGCGGGTCCGGCGGCCCTTCGAGCTCTATCTTGTCCAGTTCGTCGTCGTCCAGCTGGTGTAGGTCGTCGACAACATCCTTGCCGGGTTCCGAGAGTTCGGTCTCGCCTCTCTCCGCCGCCAGCTTCTCGGCGTGCTCCTGCATGTACTTGTGCCAGTACCCCAGGTCGGAAGACTTGCGGCGCATAACACGGGTATGGTTGCCAACAGGCTTGCGGACTCGGCCCGGCAGCAAGGGGGTAGTGCCGGCAGAGGTCGAGTCGTCGCCCGAGCTCTCGCGGAAGTAGAAGTGGGCGGCGCCACCCTCGCGGGCGCGGCTGTTGGGGAAAGCTGCGAGGGCGGCCTCTTGCATCTCCCTCTCGGCTTCCTTCGCGGCCCACTCGAGGAGGTAGTCGGAAGCATTTTCGTCCTCGGACTCGCGCCTGGCGCCCTTGGGCTGCTGCATGTCATGGGGACCGGACAACTCGGCAAGCTTCCTCCTCGACTTGTTCTTCGGAACGTAGATGTGATTGGTATAGGGGGTAATGTCGGTCTTGTCGGTGGGTTTGGTGGCCGGGCCCGTGTCACCCACACGCCTGGCTCGTCTGGACGCTTCGATGAGCTGCGGGGCAAACCTCCTTTTCTCCCGAGGTGTCTCCCGAGGTGGCGGGGCCTGAAGTTGGGGGGGAAGGGGTACCTCCTCGATCGGAGAGCCTTCGCGGGGAGAAGGGTCCGGAGTCAGCTCCGGCATATGACCCCCCGGGGTGGGCTGGTTGCCCTTGCGACGAATGGATTCGAAGGTGGTCTCGATGGGAATCGGAGCGAACCGCCTTCGCGGCTCGCCTGAAGAGGTTGACATGGAGGGCAGGTGGCGGTGAGGGTAGCTAGGTCGGTAGGTAGGGTAAGGACGTAGGTAGTTGTTCTAGTAAGCCTAGCAAATATTCGGGGGTTGGAACCAGGTGTTGGAGTTTCTCCTTGTATTGCTTGACGGTCCGTGATTGATCACCCGGCCCTGTGCGCAGGCCGGCTCCAAGGAAGAGATGAACCGAAGTCGCTACTCGAGCATTTGGTAGAGGAGCGGTTTGAAGCAAAGCAACAAGAGAGGAGAAGATATTCGGGAGGGAATGATATTCGGTCGGGAAGAACGAAGGAGATTGGAGATTGGAAAAACGATCGGCGAAATAATAAGAATATACCCGGTCAGGACGTCGGCAGTCAAAGGAAACCCTGAATATCAGGTGAAAAGCAGGGCGGCTGACTAGGGCATTTAGTGGATGGTGGGTGGTGAGAGCGAAAGGCGAACCGAACCCCAAGTGCCGACCGAATTGAGGCAGGATTAGAGACCCCGTGATAACCACAAACCCAGTAAGCCTATTAGGATGGGGAGGGGATCAAAGAGAATTCGGATTGAGGAGGGAGAGGTAGCGTGGTGGAAGTCGAATGGTATACCGGTAGAAGAAGGAGGGGAAACGAAACAAGGTCGAGAGAGGGGCGGGGGGAGGGGAGGGGAGGGGAGGAGGAGTGAGAGAGTAGGAGAGTAGGAGAGTAGGAGTAGGAGAGTAGGAGTAGGAGAGTAGAGAGGAGCGTACAAGGAGGAGTATCCGTAAGAAGAGGCAGGTGGTGTAAGGTAAAGGTAAGGTAGGTACGTTGTAGTCAGCCCGAGAAAGGAGAAAGGGCGGCCGGCCCCAAACAAAGAGGCGGTCACGATAAACGGACGAACGAGTATTGAGAAAGGGAAGGGGTACCTAAGATAGGTAGGCCACGATGCTTGCCGGACCGGTACTCTCTAGGTATCTCCTAGGTATATCGGGGTAGGAGAGGTACTTTGTGAGACAATGCGGGCATTGGTTGGGAGAGTGGGTGTGCAGGATGGTGGCGTCGTGGGATACAAGGGTTTTTTGTTATCCGTCGAGGAAATCGAGGAAAAGACTGTGACTGTGGGAGGGGAGGGGAGGGGTCTGGGGTGGAATCAGGGTGCCAGGGAAAATGGCAGATGTGGCGCTAATCACTGTGGGATGAAAGCTGGACTACAAATATACTCCTTACTTGTACTCTACATGTACCCCAATAATAAGCGAATTGCGGTTACCTGTGAATACCTTACAATCAGGAACGGTAAGTCGCCATAAGATTTGCTGATAATTGATCCCATGGTGTTGACATTCCATTCCCGCAGAACACATGTACCAGGCAATGTTCGTAGCACCAAGTACCGGGTGCTCAAGTCGAATCTCCAGGGAAATGCGGCATGCCCCTCTCCATTTTGTCCCGCGTCATGTCATCTGTAAGCCAAGCTTTCCGACAACACCGTTTACAGGTATTCTCACACCGTGTATCGTCTTCAACGGGGAGGCGCCTCTTTCCCGCATTTTCTAATCAGAGCAGCCTCGATTTTCGGCCAACTAACAGAATACCTTAATATAGATAAGGTACCTAGTTGTGATTGTTTCCCCTTCGCGTTACTATGTTACTACGAGGAGCCTTGCGGCACTCTATTGCAGTGACACAGTTCTCCGTACCCGGTATCCGTACAAAGTATCCGTAACACCCGGCCGACTACCACGGTGTCGCGGGCCCGTAATACAGCGTACGAAGTAGATTGCCGATGAAGGACCTGCAAGTACATATATAGTGTTAACTACCTGAGCCTGGCTGAGTGCCTACAACGTATGTCCTATTATCTCCTGCTTCGTCATTTCTCAACATATTGCCCAATCTCGCGTATATATCCCGAGAATACCTGAGCGCGTGCCCCGCATTCCAAAGTCATGGCGTTGCCTTTATGTGTGCGAAGTAATTACGAAGTACCAGGTACCTTACCTATCTGTACCCGCCTTCCACCCATTATCTCGTGACACGCGCACGTGCTCTTCATTACTGTGCATTTTTTCTAGGGCCCGGTCCCTGGTCGCCGCTGTGACGTGGCAGGGACCACCTCCCCCACAGTCTTCTTACGGCGTATACTTCGTACGGAATACCTTTTCGTACTTCGTACCCCAAGTCTTATCAAACACTTGAAGCTCCATGTCCAGACTGTACCTTAACTATTACTGTCTTCACGATATTCGTATACCAAATCTTCCTACACGTAATGTGCCAACTATTCACTCGCTGCCGTCATATGTACAGGTACATATTCCAGCTGTTATCGAGTACTCTGTAGGAATCATTCCTTTTCCCTGCCCCTCTGGCCGCAGAATCTGAACTGGCTTCTGACTCTTCCGTTTCCCAAATGTCTCACAATAGCTCCCCCGTTGGTGAGCACATATGCCTCATGGACTCGTGCTCATGACTCGCTTCATTCAACTTGCCTGGCATCTATGGGGAGATCCAAGACGCACAACAATACATATGCCAGGATCGCGACAGGGAGAACATCAAATACGAATCGGCCATATTACTGGTCATCACGATATCGCGTAGAGAATTCATAGCAGAGTCTGCCAGCATGACATTCCACTGAATCATGTTTATACACCCAGAATGGTCGCCCAGAATCTGATATCCAGGCCAGGCATCGATCTTTCAGGTATCCCATTTTCATACCATTACCCCTGATCCGGCAAAGCATCGGATCCCCCGGTGATGGATCGTGGCGAATCGCCGGTGCGAACTTTGAGACTACACATCTCCACCGTCGAACTTCAGATGAACGATTTTTCGAAACGTACTCTCAGAAAGAACCAGTAGTACCCTTTTTTCAGTAAACAACCAACCCCCCCCCCCTCCCCCCCCCCTCTTTACGTTTCGCATCTGCACGGTAGGCAAACTCGGTTCGGACTGCCTACGCACTGCCCATGAATCCCAAGTATTACCTTGTTGAGTGTGGTTTCCCCGCCGATAAAGTACGGACGTGCTGTCATTAACATCATCCCGGCGCCGTGGGCTTGGGTATTGGCTGGTGTCAAAAAGCAGAGTGGATGATATCGAGGCCTTCATAGAGCACCGGCGACGACTAGCTAGCTCAATAGAACCCGCTAATACCAGGTTGCTCATGGTGTAGAGAGGGTATTCGGCCCTCGTTCCTCTACCAACTAGATAAGCTCGATAAGCTATATAGAATAAGACCACGTGTTTCTTTATGGTTTGGGACAATGCCTATGAGGCGTGGACCGCGTGGTACGGGCAGCTTGATCACCACTCCGGAGAGCTTATAGAGCTCTTCACTTTCCAAGTCAACAGTCCTGTCGTCGTAGGGATGTTCGAAGATCATTGATTCAAAGTGCAAGATGCGAGAGAGGAAGGAGGAGGAAGGACGCGGATATCGTTCTGTTTTGACGAGCAATCGTTGCCCCTGGGTCTTTGTGAGTCGTGACCACCTGCGAGCTAAGACTCGCGTTGGTGTAGACTGTAGCTCGTCGGCGAATTATCAATCTCTGCGTTCTGCACAACATAGGGACACTATTACCAAAGAGGCTTTCGGAGATACGCAGACGGCTTGAATCCATCAGCCAGCGACTCGTCATTCACTGAAATATGTGTCATTCCTGTAACAAGACGACAGAGACCGACCATCCAGAGCATCGTCCCTCGCTGACACGGGTCAGTTGACTTGGTCCCAGTGTTTGCACAAGATGCATCTTACCCCGGATCCGACGGTTGACATAGTTTAGAAATACCACTTTCCGCCGCATCCTGGCGAGATGCATCAATGTTCAAGTTCGCTTCTTTTGGTATCTACCTGGTATGAACGCAATACTCCGTACATACGGAGTATCCGTAAAAGCGCAACATGTTGACGGCGGTTGATCTCCGTGTACCCGGCCGAGGATGGCTTGCCGCGTGGCTTCTCGTCTCCGGTGTATGGGGCCGGTCTCCGGGTGCAGATCAATAACTGGACGTTGGGAAGATACTGGCGGGGATGCTTTCCCATTCGGTTCTCTTTCTCTGGAGCCAGGTTATTAGCGGAAGGCCGACGACTACGGAAGAGTACTTACTTTGTACGGAATACGCATAGGTGTTCGTGAAATATCCTGAGAATGCGCCGTAATTACATCGTGGTACGACGTTGTATTAGGTACGGGACATTCCCCGAGCGGGTACGTGGAATAATCAACAGGGCAGAGGGCGGTCTAGACCGCAGGCCAGTGGGTGAGACAGGTGGGACCCCGAGCGGGAGTGGGGGGAAACATCCCCTGTCGTGTCAATAATAGGCCAATAAGAGGCCAATAATAGCAGTGCTTTTGGAAATAGGGACTCAGAACGCCAATGACTGGACGGATCTAGTGTAGGTGCAAGATGCAGACATAAGAGACCAAGTCACTTCTACGCAGCGAAATACGTACCTTTTGGCCGGCAAGGAGGAGACAGAAAGGGCGTTATGTAGTACGAAGGGACCCATTTCAGGTATTCGTTTATGCACACCGACGAAGCAGTGACAGCAGCTTCGTTCTTCGTCCACGACGACGACGTATTGGGAGTTGAACACAGCGGTTGGGCGGGTTCAATGTTGTTGTCCATTTTATCTCGTGTCGTGTCAAGACAAGGGCCGTCCCTCCCAACGAGGCCGTGGCACACGACAAACTGCACGTCCTGCCCAGCCAGGGGATTTCGCAACGGTCGGCCTGTACGAAGGTGTAGTGTATTTACTCCGTACTTGTCGCAGAGACGGTTCGCTAGGTAATCATAACAGTGCATTCATTAGGTAGTTTGTGAGCAGCTTAAGGAAGATCAAATACGGTAGAGTGTACGTGGTACCGACCGAGTACGTTCCGTAGAGAGGAGGGGGACTTTTAATAACGTAGATGGTTAAAATTACTCCGTACTCCGTAGAGTATCTCGCGTACCTTACCTTATTACCTAAGGCACCTTACCTTACAACGTAATTATGTACGAACAGTTAGTCCGTACATAAGGTAGTACACCGACCAAGTACCGAGCCTTGTCCTCCCCACCAAAATGGGTACACGCGCATTCGTTGGTACTCCGTAGAACTCCCGACGCCCAAATCCCATGATTGACCTCGAACCGTCTTTCTCGCAACTCCATCGACTGCCATCGCGAGTGTGGCAGAAAAGGCAGGATCGACCTCTTTGTCTTCCTCTTAATCAATTCAATCACCTCTAATTCTTGAGGTTTCCCACCTGCACCATATCCGCTGCATTATCTTGCGGCTGCCCCACGATCTGCAATTTATCTGCACTCGATCTGGGAGACAGCCGATCTTCGTTAAGGCGTCTTTCTTCTTTTGATCATCCACGAGATCCCTTTCAACCTAAAGCGCTGCATACGATACGATCCATAGCGTTGGCTGCCTATGGTTATCGATTCTCCTGACGCCCGTTTCTGCCATCGCCATCACCTCACCTTCGCCATCGACTGGGCCGGACCGACGAAAGAACACGAGCACGCCCCCTGGCCAAACGCCCCGTCCCGCTCTGGCTGACTGGGGCGTTTCCAAATACGAGACTTGCAACCCAGGGCCCGATTTTGGCTGCATCTGTTTCTTCTTCTTCTTTTTTGTCTTCTTCTGCGTGTTTGAACACCTTCACATTGACTTCGAGCTTCGAAAGAAAGGATACCCGCGGTGAATTTCCGCTGTGCACAGTTTGAGGAACGAGAGAAAGCCCAGTCTTTTTATTTTTATTTTATTTTATTTTATTTTCATTTTATTTTGGCAGGGTCGCCGCTTCTATCGCAGTCATCCCGGTCATCGCTCTCTTCCCACCATCGCCATGGTGGTCTCTCAACACTCGCTCATTGGCATCTCGGCGAGCCCATCAGATAAGAGCACCGGCGCCGACAACACGAGAGACCTAGCGGTAGCCTCGCCCACGTCATCCGACAACTCGACCAACCCAAGTCCCTTCACCGTCCTTTCAAGTTCTCTCTCCCCTGCCATCTACACACCTCTGTCCTTGTCCGTCGACGGCAGCCATTTTTTCTACGACGAAATCACCACCGCCGATGCAGATGTAAATGCAAATGCACGTCCTGATAACCAACCGAGCCCCCCAAGACACGAAATCGCACCACCAAACGAACAACACGTACAACCAAGGGAGGACGGTGGACTATCCGTGGTAGCGACACGGGACGTGGACCATACTGGGCCGGAAAAATCATCCGTTGGAGCTGCTGCTACCCTGCAGCGTCCTGCTGTCGTTGCCCTGTCGTCTACCTTCGCATCTGCGAGCACGTCTACGTCCACATCGTCATCCACTCCGACAACGATTACAGAGACCCGACAGAACATGGAAAAGGGAGAGAAGCAGTTGGTGGACGACGGTGCCGAAATTACCGAGTTCATTTCGCGTGCCACGGGCCAACCTGGATCGACTCCCCTGCCTTTCCTGCAGCCTTCCAGGGGTCGTGGTCGAAGGCCCGGCGATCATACTGGACCTCAACGAGCCGATCCCGCCGATAATCATAATTCGTCCGAATCTCGCGCAGCCACAGGAGTCACCGGTTCCGCCAGAAACACCGATGCCCCATCTTCGCCCACGAGCCTGATCGAACAAATTCAAGAGTCGCTACATCAGTCGTCCATATTGCCATCGGCGTCTGTCCCCGCAACAGCCGACGCCTCCTCGATTCCGGTGTATTGCCCACAACCCATCGTACGCACTACTTCAGATAGCGCCAAGTTGACCGTCTGCCATCCCGTTCCCGATCTTAACACCCGGTCGGGCGCTTACGTCGGCAACATCGCCGCCCTGGAGAAGACCGCCGAACGGCTTTCCATGACCAGTTCCATCGAGGACGCCATTCGAGATTTACATTGCGAGCTGAAGAGGAGCGATAGCCGCCGATCCTCCAAACTAGCTGCCGCCGTCAACGCAAACACAAACGCAAAAGCAAAAGCAAAAGCAAACGCTGCTGCTTCCCTTCCCGACGACGAATCCTCCTTTCCAGCCAACACTGGCAACCCGACACTCGTCGGCCATATCTCTTCGGCAAGCAATATCGTCGAGGTCAACAGCGCGGCCCGGCACGGCGGTTACTCCCCTGCCGGATACGTCATGTCGCCCAACCACTCCCTCACAAGTCGGCTGCGGTCCGGGTCTAAGAACTCGACAGGCCGGCCGGACTTTGACGTGGAGAACTTCATGTCCCGACAAGGTCCGGGCAAGAGCTCCACTCGCAGCGTCCGGTCCGCGAAGCCGTCTTTGGCCGAGATCGCCGAGTCGGAGCCCACTGCCTTGACACGGGAGGCGTTGGACGAAGCAGATCGTTTACCCTGGCACGAGGAGAGGCAGGACGACACAGGGACTGAGACGACGCAGAACGGTAGGACGGCGCATCCCGTCCCGACCACCGATGCTTTCCATACTATGCTGGACGGGGGCTCCCTCGACCGACTGTCGGAAGACTCGGAAGACCTAGGCCGAGAGTCTGGATACGCCCAGGCCCAGGCCCAGGCTCAGGCCCATGGCGTGCCGTACGCCGAAGACCCTTACCGTCCGCCTTCGCGACGCTCAGTGACCACATTCGACGCAAACAACGCATTTAGCGATTTCGATGGCGTGCACTGCGCACCAGATCTGGACATGCCCGGCATGCCCGGCATGCCCGAGCCGGCCTTGTCCGAGCCACAAATTCCCCTATCCAGCCGACACAACATGCCCAGGCGACAGTCGTATTATGACGAGGAGACCGGTCAGCACATGCTATATTACCCGGCCCGTGTCCCAGCCATGCTCAATCTGCCGCCGAAGCTGTCCCGGAAGCCCAAGACGGCCGTGCGGAATACGCGACACTCCAAGGTCCTCCAAGCAATGGGACATCCTGGTCTCGACCAGTCGCAATATATGCCCCAGGATGTCCGTCCGACACATGGCAAGGAATCCACCGTGTGGCTTCCTGACCCTGTTCAGTCTGCGGAGGGATTCTCTTCTTTGTTTCCGCCCGAGCCGTCGGAGGGACAGTCTGCCGTTGCCCGCATGGCTTCCTTGGGTCAGGCCCGTGAGGCACACCAGGAACAGCAGCAGCAGCAGCAGCACGCAGCGCCCTTGGCGGATGGTCAGCACGATCCCTTCGCGCAGCCTCATCAGCCCGGTCACCACAGTCCTGGTCTGATCGGGGGAGACAACCGCCGGTCCAAGCTCCCTCGGAATCTGCCCCCCGCACTTCGTGCCAGCGCTTTCTTTGATCTCCCCTCTACGTCGGTGGAGACGGAGGCGAAAGACGGCTCAGCCATGCATGTGCTCGACAGTATCCTCGATGCGTCGGCGAATGCGCCCGTGGACGCCTTTCTCGACCATAGCTTCGCGGGAAAACTCGGGAAAGAGGTCTACGGGCGTGAGAAGCGAGACAAAATGCGGAGTTCTACTTTGCCTTTGGCCGCGTCGTCATCGGAACAAAAAGAACAACAGAAGCCACCTGGTTCCGCAAAGAAGCGGACATCTCTTTTCCCGTTTGGCAAATCTGACAGGGATAGCTCCCATAGTCGCAAGGAGAGTATCACGGGCTGGTCGGTGAGGAGTGGTCGGGGTAAGGAAAGTAGCGACGATCCCGAACGGCAAACTCTTTCGGCGAGTCAGAATGGCGAACCGGTGGGAGAGAGAGGTCAGAAAGAGGGCCGGCAAGACGCCAGCCCGGAAGAGGAGGAAGAGGAGTTCCAAGGCCCGCCGACAACGTTGTTGGCGGAACTCCAGATCCGCAAGCAGGAGCAGAAGATGCGCACGCGCAACCGGCAGCTCGCGGCAGCTGGCGCCATGCACTCGACGCTTCTGGAGATGGACGCGGTGGCCGAAGCACAACGCAGGAGCCGCAAATCCCGGCGCGTCAACCTCGCGTGGGAAGGTCCCGACGGGCAGGCCGGGGAGGCGGAATCGTCAGACGAGGACGTCCCCCTGGGCATTCTCTATGCGGCCAGGGCGGCGGGGAACAACGACATTGCGGCCGTGGTGGCCGAGCTCAACCGGCCGATCGGTCTGTTGGAGCGGCGGGAACTCGAGGAGAACGAGCCGCTCAGCGCGCGGCGTGCGAGGCTACAGGGCAAAGAAGCACTGACGCTCGCGAACCGGCGGAGTGTGATGACGTTGAACCCGACGACGGCCATGAGCGCGCATCGGATGTCGCCTTCCCGCCTCGGAGGAGCGGCAGGGGGGCAGTCGCAGTCCCCGCAACCGGAGGAGGTCGTCGAGCCCGAGCCCGAGATCGAGGGCGAGACGCTCGGCGAGCGCATGCGCAGGCTGAAAGAGAAGGACGAGGCAGAGCACCATAACCTCCCTCGCGCCAGGCCGGTGAGCGGGACGTTCTCGGCGGAGCTGCTCAGCCAGTTTGGCGACTTGGACGACGAGAAGGCGGAGAGCGTTGGTGTGGCAAAGGGGAATAACAAGGGCGACGAAGCAAAAGCGGCGGCGCCCCCGGCAAGAGCGGGCGGCGAGGAGGAAGAGGAGGAGACGCTAGGACAGCGACGCAAGAGGCTCCAGGCCGAGCGCGAGGCGAGGGAGCGGGAGATGAGCATGAAGGCGCTCACCGGGAACGCGGGCCGGGTTTCGAAGAGGCTCAGCCTGGCCAACATGCTGTCGGCGCACCCGGTGCGCGATGCGATGCCGACGACGCTGACGGGGCAAGACGAGCAGCGGAAACGGGCGGAGGAACAGGCGCGGCTCCGGGAGCAGGATGCGCGGATGGCGGCGTTGCGGTCTCAGATGCCGCAGGCGCTTCATCTGGCGTCGACGGGGACCCAGGCGGGGGGGTTCCGGGGCGGTATGTATAACGATGGATCGGGCGGCGGCCTTGGGGGCATGAGCATGAACGGCGTGGCTCAGCCGGCGGTGCATGGCGGGCTCAGCGCGGGATATCCAGGCGGCAACATGGGCATGAACATGGGCATGAACATGCACGCCAACCCGAATATGGGGATAAGGATGGTGGGCCCGCAGGGTGGGATGGGCGGCGTGCCGATGAACATGGGGATGAACATGAACATGAACATGCAGACGATGCCGATGCCGATGCCCATGATGCCGCGGCAGCCTGGGCAGGCGGGGCAGCCGCGGCAGGTGGATTCGATTGAGCGGTGGCGACAGAGCGTCATGCCATGAGGAGCGGCGGAACAACGGCTCTGGACCTTCAAGACGGAACGCGAGGCGGCAATGCGGCTTTACATGGCGGACTTTCCTGTCGCCCCCTTTTTCTCTCAACCCACCCAACCAGCCGCTTGCCAATGGGTTCACAACACCTCTTTATTCCATATACTTCAGGTCTCGCCTGGGTATCTAATTTAGCTGCGATTACGACTGGACTGGCGAGGCGTTCTCACATCTTTTAGCATTGCGAGGGTGTTACCGGTCTGGTTTGCCTTGTCATCGCGCTGGCTGTATGTACGTGTATACGTGGGTGGCATAAGCAAGCAGGGATGCATGTCTTTTCTTTTCTTTTCCATCTTCTTTCTTCGGTCTTTCTCTTGTTATCGACAGGACCGCTGTAATGTCCTAGTGGCTACGGAGTAGTTATAGATCTATTGTAATGGCGAGTCTGCCACCTCTTTGAAAGCATGAACCCTTGCTTGCAATGGCGCATAGAACTCGAGGACTTGATTCTACTGAGGCAATGGGTGGGTACCTATATAAATAAAATGTCGTATATACATGCTCACGATAAACCGATGTCGACTCTTCTTCAAGTCGGTACGGGTTGTACGAGGCCTTCTTTGGTATTTTCGTTCTTCGTTCTTCGTTCTTCGTAGTTAATGAGGTACTGAAGCGCCGCGAATGTTGACAGAATCCCATGGTCCCGGAGTGAGAGTACTGAATTGTTAGTACACTAAGTACACTACCGTACCTTACACTAAGCTAAGTACACTACCGTACCTTAGGTACTCTTCACCTGCCCCTCTCCTTATCTTATCGTTATAATGTACCCGCTACTTTGACCCCGAAACACGTGGCCCTCGTAGTACTCTGTAAGGTACGTAATCGGAGGAATCAGATGTCAAGCGCCGAGACACGCCCTGTACTTCGTAATACACGTACCGTCCGTCAGCTCAGCTCAGCTCCAAGCCTCGATCGGATTTCCTTTCTTTCCATATGTTCCTCTTTCACACACTCTTGGGAGAAGTGACACCTTTTTTATCTTCTTTTCTTTTTTGACTGAAATCTTGAATTCATACCCGCATACTGTCTTTGATCTCTTCCCCCTTCCAGGACGCGGAATGGAGGCTTCTCCGCTGACGCGACAGCCTCAGCCCGAGGTGTTCCAGCCCAAGATTGTGGTGCTCTACGAATCACTCTTCAAGGTGCGAGCGCTCTCCCCTTCCCTCATTATTTCCCCAGTACAGCATATGAGAGTGCTGACGAGGAGGCTCCGTAAAGGTACGGCTGGTCCCAATGTCCTTGTCCTTGTCCTTTGTCTCTCCCGATTCGGTTCCCCGCCAGCTCCCTCCCTGATACCCGACCTTTGAACCAGCGGTAGAACGCATTCATTCGGATCCTCGACTAAAACCAAGAAACCCCCCACCCCCACCCCCACCCCCACCAGGACGAACATGAAGACGAACGATCCGAGGGATTCTGGCGCGAGTTCTTCCTCCTGCGTCCCGACCGCGGCACGCTCAAGAATCTGTTGGAGGGCTTAATGCCGGGCCAGGTGCTCGCGCTCGAGGACCGGACGAGGGAGCTTTTCTTGCGCGCCGTCGATACCATCAAGGCCGACCAGGGCGTCGCTTGCCTGCATGCACTTGATGTGAGTGAGCTTGCGTTCTCTTCCGCCTTTTCTGCCGCCAACGGTTTGGTTGTTGGAACTTGTAGGACTGACAGAAAAAAACCGGGAGGGGGGAAGGATCTCCTGTAGACATTAAGTGTGTTCCTGGCCTCCGTGCTGGCGAAGAAGTATGCGCATCCGAGTTCCGAAGTCATTTCCGTCCTGGCCGGCATCGACCTCATCGACACCATCTTTACCGAGTTTGTCGCGGCGCTGGACTCCATCATACGCGGCGGGAGGACCTTGGAGCGGCGCCAAAAGGCCGTCGAGGTTGTTTTGGCCGTCGCCGCGGGGGCCTACCAGACCAGCTTGCTCACATATTTCGTCCAGCGGGACTTGTTCCCTGCCGTTATGAAGGTATGAGGTATGAGGAGGTTTTGTGGTTTCGGCACAAACTATCCCCTCTAACATCGTTCCAGTTCATCCAAGACTCGGAATCGCCTGCGCAGACCATCCAGACTTTCGCCCTCCTTGGCCTGCTGGCCAACTACAACAAGTTCGAGTTCCAGAACCCCTACCAACAGCGGCTCAACGACTTTGTCAACGAACCCATTATTCGAAAGATCATCAGCAGTGTCGGGTATACATGCCAGAAATTGGCCTTGGACTACGTCGACGTGCTCGATGACTTGCCCGAAGGCTGGACACTGAGCAACACGCTACATATGATCGGCCTTGGCATCGTGGCGCGGGGTCCGAAACCCGAGAAGAAGCCTGTGTATGATGAGGAGACGCAGAAGCAGATGTTTGCTAAGCTGTGAGCCAGCCAGCCCTCCTTTCGAAACCCCTCCCTCCCTCACGTCCCCGCTTTCCCCATTTTCAGTTCCTCTATTTATATAGGAGAGAGAACTCTGTTGCTGACCCCCGCGGTGGGTAGACCCGGCGAAGAAGCATCGGTGTTGTTGGCCACCTACGACTTTACGCATGCCAACAAGCTCTTTTGCTTCAACCTGGTCACGTTAGCCGAGAAGGGAGAGGAGCAGCCGCTGGCCAGCTACCTCTCTCTGACCTCGTACCTTCTCCAACACGCCTACCTGTCTCCCCGAACGGCGCACTACGCCACCCTCAATCTCACCGTCATCCGCCTCCTCGTCGAGGACCCGGTCCTCTGCAAGAGGATATGCGGCGAAGAATCCAAGACGGCCGTGCGGCTCTGCCGCCAGAGGTCGCCGCACCTCCCTCTCGTCCGGGGGGAGCGCGTGATGGCGACGGCGGTGCTGGACGCCATGGTGGACGGCATCTCGCACAACCTGCGGCGCCGGCTCGACGTGGGCCTCTACACGCTCTGCGTCGGCATCATGCTGCGGGTGACGTCGTACCTCGCGCGGTCGCGCACGCGGCTGCCGTACCACTGGGCCGACTTCTTCCGCGCGCTCCTCGCGCTCGTCCGCTTCCTGACCACGTACGCGTCGGACCTGCGGCTCCTCCTGCAGATCGAGGTCCTGCTCGACCACGTCGCGAACCTCCTCGCGCTGGCGCTCTCCTCGGGCGAGGCCTTCCTGCCCTCGCCGGCGGCGTACGACGACTTGTTCTACAAGGTGGTGGAGGCCGGCGACGTGCTGGTCCGGTTCAAGGAGAGCTACGGGCTGGGGAAGAGGCAGGGCAATTCCATCGACACGCTCATCAGCGTGAGCGCGCACTATCAGGACATGCTGAAAGGGCCGGGCGGTGGCCCGGGTGGTGGCCCGGGTGGTGGCGGTGAGAAGAAGCAGACGCCGACCAAGAAGACGAAGACGAAGGGGATCCTCACGAGTGCGCAGGTCGCCGACGTGATTAAACAGGGGTACGATACGCTCAGTATCCAGGCAAAGGAAGGGCTGGATACGTGGGAACGGTACCGCGAGGCCGATGAGCGGACTGTGTTGAAGAAGGTTGCGCGGGTGGCGGTCGCGGATGGCCGCGTCTTGGTCGCGCCGTAGAGGATGATGAGGCCCCGACAGCCGACCGGAGCCGGCATTTGACTAATCCAACTATTGTGATTGGTCTGCTCTGATATGGCAAGATTTCGCTAAATGTTAGCCGGAACTCGCATAGGTACTCCCTTGTATCTTTCCAGCTGACAAAGCAATTCTCGTGAACCGAACTGTGATATGGTGAGACTGTTTCAGCGGATTTCGAATCCAAGTACCTCGGGGTACTTGCCTATGACTCCTACAACACGTGATGATGCGATGTTGATTAGGAAGCAGTTTCGGTGGGACCAGAATATGAAATCTATCTATCTAGCACTCACGCTTTGAACACACCACTGGACATTCTCCCCTACGCATTTTCTCCCGTCCTCATCATTTCCTTTCAAACAGTCGCTTGTCAAGCGCGCAGGTACAATTATAACGACGCAGAGTATTCCTGTATATACCTCCCGTCCACACCCATTGGCAACCCACCGCGACGCACAACGAACGACCATCGTCCCATCCCATGGCGTCATAACTTGGGCTTCATCCTCGCTTCTTCGACGCACCTTCGCTTCTCCCATCACCCTTTGAAGCATATCTTCGCAAAGCACATTCGATATCAGATCCCCAGCCTTCACCATGAATGCCCCGCGTGCGGCCTCGGCCACGCGGCTTGCCATAGGTCGCGCCATGTTCAGGTGTACCTCAGAAGCCACACGAACGATCAGGCCGACAAGGACAATAGGCTCGGGTGTGAGAGTACATGAAGTCCAAGCCGTGTCGCGGCGCTGCTACGGTTCTGCGACCTACCAGTCGTACACACTTCCGACCAACACGCCGCCACCACCGCCGAGGGGCGAAAACTCATCAGCTTCGCCGACGACTTCCCACGAACTACATTCGCCTCCGTCGCCGTCGCCGAGGGTCCAGAATCCCACAGACGGAAAGAACAGTATCGAAGCGAGCACATCTCTCGACACAGGACGGACGACGACAGCCCCCTCAGATTCGTCACCGTCGTCACCCCCCGCCGCACCCGCACCCGCATCCACCTCGAGCACCGCCCCCCCCCCCGACGCCAAAACCACACCGACCGCAGGAACCGGCCCCAAGCCTCGCCAACGGCCCAAGCTCCGCGCCCGTAAGGCGGCGATGAAGCTGACGCCGACGGCGGTGGACCAGCTGCGCGCCATGCTGGAGGGCCCGGAGCCCAAGCTGATCAAGGTCGGGGTGCGCAACCGCGGGTGCAGCGGGCTGGCGTACCACCTCGAGTGGGTGGACAAGCCGGGCCTATTTGACGAGACGGTGGAGCAGGACGGCGTCCGGGTGCTTGTCGACAGCAAGGCGTTGTTCAGTATTATTGGGAGCGAGATGGACTGGGTGGAGGATAAGCTGAGTCAGCGGTTTGTGTTTAGGAATCCCAATATCAGTGAGTTTTTTCTTCCTTCTTTTTCTTTCTTTCTTTTTTTTTTCCTTTTTTTCTTCTTCTCTTTTTCTTCCCTTTTTCTTCCCTTTTTCTTCCCTTTCTCCTTCCTCTCCTGTTCCCTTCCATCCTTTCTTGCCTCGTGCTTGATTTAGACATGTTTGCAGTGCTAACTAGCAACAGAGGAGGAGTGCGGATGCGGCGAGTCTTTCATGGTGTAACATCAAGATTACCGCCCTCGGCTTGGGCATGGGGATGGAGACGGGACAGAAATAGAACTGTGTATAGATGGCAGAGAAGAGACCGAGGAGGCAATTCAACAGCCAAGTCCTTGAGCATGGCACGGCGTTCTATACCTTATCTTTCTCGAGAATGAGTGTACGGATGCGGTGGGTTTCAACATCGTCTTCAGCGACGGTGGTGGGATGGGACGGGGGACAAGAGACAACGCTCCTGAAGCATGCTATACATAATGCCTTGAGCGTACTTCATATCTGAATCTCCACTATCTTTACGGTTTTACTGGCCAAAATACAGTTTGTTGTGCTGGGTTCTTTCTGGTGCTCCATTCCGTATAAGACCAGAGTTGACAAGGACAAGCAAAGATAAAAACGACCTTGTCCCCTTTTGTCCGACGAAGGCGCCTTACTAAATAAAGCAGGCTTAGCCTCTTGCCTTACGTAATTATACACATGACATCATCAGTTCATCCGGGCTCACTGACTAAGCCGCGTCCCATGTGACAGCGCGTCACTCCCCACATCGGCGCGTCTCCAGAATGAGCATCGAAATAAATTGTTCATGATCCATTTTGACGGCAGCTCCACCTCCACGTCCACGTCCACGTCCACGTCCACGTCCACGTCCACCTCCATCTCTCAGCCTTCACCTTTCACCTAGAACCCGTCATTGGACTGCTTAATTCCATTTGCCTTGTCATTGTTTCCATCTATCCACCATTGACTTGGCTTCCCTATTCTACCCCCTTCCACTCCTCTCCTCTCCTTTCGTGACCTCGCTCTGCCTCTGCCTCCGCCTCTGCCTCCCTCCCCCTCTCCCTCTCCCTCTCATCCTCTCGCCCTCTGACCATGCCTACGTCGGTCAAGTGTCCAATATGTGGAAACTTTGTCACTCACCAACGCATCAATGACCATCTCGACTCAAAATGCGTCGAGTTCGTCCTTGGCACCTCCCACAACGCCGCTAACCTAAGCTCGTCTCCTCCACCCCCTTCAACTCCAGCCAACGGATCCTCCGATAAGCCGAGCGTCATGTTCTTCTCACAGCAACCGAAACGGTCTGCCGCGACCTTTTTCCAGACGCCAGCAGCCAAGAGGCAAGCGACCGTCTCCAAGGTCTCCCCCACCGTTCCCACTTCCAACTCGACCAATCCTCAAGGGCACCAGGCCACCGGGAAAAGCAACAGCCAACCGTCGAATTGTAAGCATCGCGAACAACCCTCCTCCCCTTGTGCCGATCTACGATGATACTAACGGGAACATGTTCGCAGCCACAGCAAACACCACCGCCGCCGCCTCCTCCTCCTCCTCCTCCATCCTTTCCAGAAAGCGCACCTTCGACCAGGGGCCAGGGCGCGACCTCGTAGAATCGTCAGGAGCGGAACACGAACACCTTAGAGATGCCAGTAGCGCAGCCCTAGATGTACAACCGACTTCGAAACGCACCAAGACAGCCCGCGCCGCTCCGTTAGCCGACCGCATGCGCCCCCAGACTCTTGACGACGTACATGGTCAGGAACTTGTCGGTCCTCACGGCGTCCTCCGCGCCTTGATCGAGTCGGATCGCGTGCCGTCCATGATTCTCTGGGGTGGCTCCGGCACTGGTAAAACCACCATTGCCCGGTGTATCGCCGGTCGCGTGGGCAGCCGCTTTGTCGAACTCAACGCTACCTCTACAGGTGTGGCCGAATGCAAGAAGCTCTTCCAGGAAGCCTCCAACGAGCTGGCCCTGACCGGCCGCAAGACCATCATTTTCTGCGACGAGATCCACCGCTTCTCGCGGTCCCAGCAGGACGTCTTTCTCCGCCCTGTCGAGGCCGGCACCATCACCCTTATCGGCGCCACCACCGAGAATCCGTCTTTCAAGGTCGGCGCCGCCCTCCTCTCCCGCTGCCGCACCTTCACCCTGCGCAAGCTGGACGAGGACGACCTGGTCGCCATCCTCCGCCGCACCGTCGCCGCCGAAGAGGCCGTCGGCCACTACCGCCCGTCCCCCCTCGTCGACGACGCCCTCTTGCGCTACCTGGCCGCCTTTGCCGACGGCGATGCCCGCACCGCCCTCAACCTCCTCGAGCTGGCCCTCTCCCTCACCGCCCGCCCGGGCATCACCCAGGACGAGCTCAAAGCCGCCCTGACCAAGACGCTCGTCTACGACCGCGCCGGCGACCAGCACTACGACACCATCTCGGCCTTCCACAAGTCCGTCCGCGGCTCCGACCCGGACGCCGCCCTCTACTACCTCGCCCGCATGCTCCAGTCGGGCGAGGACCCCCTCTTCATCGCCCGCCGCATGGTCGTCATCGCCTCCGAGGACGTCGGCCTCGCCGACTCGTCCCTCCTCCCGCTCGCCACCGCCGCCTACACCGCCACCCAGCAGCTCGGCATGCCCGAGGCCCGCATCCCCCTCGCCCACGCCTGCGTCGCCCTCTGCCTCGCCCCCAAGAGCACCCGCGCCTACCGCGCCCTCAACGCTGCCTTTGACGCCCTGCGCGAGCCCGGCGTCGCCTCCCTCCCCGTGCCCCTCCACCTCCGCAACGCCCCGACCCGCCTCCTCCGCGAGATGGGCTGCGGCGCCGACTACAAGTACCCGCCCAACTACCGCGACGGTCGCGTCCGTCAAGAGTACCTGCCCGAGGGCATGGTCGGCCGTCGCTTCCTCGAGGACCGCCACCTTGGTACCGAGGTTGATCCCGACTTGGAGATGCAGGATGCTTGACCTGTGGCGATACGATACGATGCATACATACATACCCCCGTACCTACAACAGGAAAGCAAAAGGAAATATATACCGAAGCGGCGGGGCATAACTAACAGGAGTCAAAAGTCGGGCCATGGACATACATCCTGCGCTTGTACAAAACATGTCATTTAAGAAGAACATTACACCATCCCGGAGCAAAAAGACATCCAGGATGTATGCAGTGGGAACCCATAATAACGCGACGGGAAAAGGGGCATGGGGATAGGGATGGTTAGTATTTTGTACAGCTATTCTGCGTCGTTTCACCCTCTCACGACAGTGAGTCCAGTTCTCCCGTCACAACGACGGACCGTGGAGCTGGCCTTCTGAAAACGACCGATGCCCCCCTCATCAAGCAAAGGGTTTCCTCCTCGTTTAGAAACTGAAGATGCTCGTTGCGAAGCAAATCCCCCTTTTGTCCGTAGAACGATGAGCCATACAATGCGCCATGCATGCATCATCGGTCATGAAATGGGGTGCTTCTCTTCCCAGTCGAGACCCAACTCCACGCCGCAAAAAGGAATATAAACCCTCCTCTCCCCCTTGTCCTTTCTCAGATCTTCCTCGCACCTTGACTCATAAGAATGCCTGCCTGCTGTCTCACTTGTGTGTGTCACGGTCTGACTACTCGTCTGTTCCATCCTCATCTCCCTGCTTCAGGCGACGAGATTCCGCCTTGGGCGGAGCATCATAAATCCCTCGCAAGGTCCAACGACAGCGAAGATAAAGAAGGAAAAAAGAAGAAGAAAAAAAGGTATCCTTTCCTCCCCCCCACCCCCCCTCCCACCCCCCGCGCGTCTCGGTACTCAAAAACACGCAAACGATCATTAATAAGAGAAACAGGCGGCCAAGGAATAAAAAAGCAGCCCTTCGCAGGCGGTAGGGCAAGCTTCCACTCCTCCTACTCCTCCTCCGAATCGGACGACTCCTCGCGCAAAGGGTGCAGCGGCACCTCGGGTCCTCGATCGGACGCCGGCTCCTGACCGGCGCCGGAACCGGACTTGTACTGGTTCTTAAGCCGCTCGAGTTCGGCGATGCGGGCCTCCTGCTCCCGGGCGTTCATCGGCTTGTTCTTCTTGGGTTTACTGGGTTGTTTGGGCGCCTGTTTGGCCGACGGACCGTTGTTAACCGGAGACGATTCACGCGCCGACGGGGCGTTGGTACCAAAGTTGGGGAGGACTCTCTTCAAGAGGTCCCAGAGCTTGTGGAGCGCGTCGGTGGTAAGCTGGTCGATCTCGAGCTCGAGTTCGCCGCTGTCATTTTCCTGTAGGACGGGGGCGCAGGTGAGGGAATGGTTAGTCGGGTGCTGCAGCGGCGAAGAAGAAAAGAAGAAAAGAGAGAGAGGATAAATAAAAAACGTACAGTTTGACCGGTGTCCTTCTTGATTATGTCAATAGCACGCGCAATGTTCACCTCGTCAAGGTCGTTGATACCATTGGCGATCTGGTCCTTCTCGTTCTGCGTCATCGGTCGTTTCGACTTCTTCGCGCCGCCCGACGTTCCAGACTTCCTGGACGCCGACGCCGTGGACGCTTTCTTGCTCCCGCTCGCCGCGGCCTTGGCCTTGCTGCTCGACTTGGATGTTTTGCTTTTGGACGGCTTGGCCTCCGACTTCTGGCTCCCCAACTTCTCCCTCTCCTCGAGTACCCGTTTTCGGATCGCCTGGACGATCGTCCGCTGCAAATCGATCTCCGTCTCGTCCGGGTTGTCAATGTTGACGATCAACTGCGAAAGTTTCGTCGTTTCCGCCCTCAGACGCTGTTCCAACTTATCGATCGCGGCCGCGGCGTCTGACGCCTGTGTCGATTTGCCCGAGGTCGCCGGCTGCTGCTGCTGCTGCTGCTGCTGCTCCTCCTCCTCGTATTCTTCCTCGTCGGACCCGTCTTCGCTGTCTTCGCTAGTCACGGCTTCCGACACGGGCTTGACGGGCGTGTTCTTGGCCATCCACTGATCCTTCTTGGCCCACGCGTCCTTGAAGAGCTTCTCCAACTGCATGGCCTGGAGAGTTACCACGTGGTCCGGGCCGTTGAACTTGAGGCAATTCTTCACGACGAGTTGGAAATCAGTCTGCACTTGCTTGGCATTCTGGTATTCGTTGGTCATCAACTTGCTCTTGATGGTGCCCAGGTCCATGGGGTTTTTGACGACGCTCCAGTAGTTGGGGATCTGCAGCGCCACGGGGTCCACTGGCTCGAGGAAGGGGATGTTGAGGGCGTGGTGCTTGGGTTCCATAAGCTCCACAACCACATCGTAGGCGAACTGCAGCTCCAGGGGGAGTTTCTTCTTGTTAAAGTTCTGCATGGCCGTGTAGTCGATATCCCTGTTTTTGGGAGGGTGAATGGCGCGCTTCGGTCGGTCACTCTCGTTTTGCGTCGATGCTCTACGGACTTGGGGTACGCCACCTGGCGGGATGGCATACGCCTCCCTCTCTGGCTTGGCAGCCGGACTTGCCGCGGCCGGTCTTGACTCCTTCCGCGGAGGGGCTGGTTGGGGAGAGCCTGCGGCATTAGCGCGCACATCGGCGTGTCTGACGGGGTGGTGCTTAGGAGCGGGTTTCGTTCTAGGGGGTTCTTCCGCGGACACTTCCAGCATCTTCAGCCAGACTTGAGGTACTACAGCTCGGCCATGGGCCGTCACTTCGTGATGAGGGCCGTTGAATATGTATGTGTTCTTGTAGAGAAGAAAAAGGTCCTTCCTTAACTGGCCCAGGACGTTGTAGGTGGAACTGTCCCTCAGGCTGCGCTCCATAGTTCCGAGGTCCATAGGCTTGGGAACCTTCAGCCGGTAGCTTTCGGCCAGCATGGGCCAGAGTTTGGCGACCGAGTCTCTGAAGAAGGCCCCGGCCTTGGTCTTCTTGGCACCGGCCAGGATCTTGCGGAGCTCGCGGGCGCGATATTCGGTGATCTCGCGCTGGTTTGCTTCGGCGTCTTTCCAGCCCGGAACTTCCCAGAAGAGCTTATCGCTGATTTCGCCCTCTGCCTCCGTCTCTGCCTCGGCCTGAACGGTGACTGGCTGCGAGGCGGCAGGTGTTCCGTCGTCGGGACCCTCGGTGCGGGGGCGTTTGGCGGCAGGCTCGTCGGCGGCATCGTCTTCGCGAGAACGGGCGACCTTGGTCGAAGACGAAGGCGCATCGGGCATGGCAACGTCTGTATCAGCATGTGGTGGGGTCGTTGGATCTTTGGTTTTGCTGTCGATGGCGAGTTGCGACATGCTAGCCGGCTTGAGATCGAGATCCGCGCTGGAGGTGGGATCGCTGGGGTCAGGTTTTCCAGCTTTGGGAGAAGGCTTTGACGCGCCTTCTCCTTCTTCGGGTTCTGACTTTTGTGGCGCGTTGCTTGAGACGTCGCTGACTGGCTGGGAATTCTTGACGGCAAGTTCATCCTGGGGTTCCCGTTCAGAAGGTTTGTCGCTCATTTCGACGTCCTTGCTTTTCGCCTCTTCCTTCCCCTCCTGCGACTGTTGGTCGGCTTCGTCTGGTGTCGCTATAGTCGCGGATGCATCGTCGTCCTTGGAGCCTGCAAACTTGTTTGCTGTGACGTCCTCAGAGGTTTGTGTCGCTTTTTGATCAGGCGAGTCGCTCGAGGTCTCCTCGGATTTGTCGGCGTGATTGCCATGCCCATTAGCCAAAGGCTTGTCCTTCTCTACCGTCTTCTCCGATGGTGGTGAGGCTTGACTAAAACAAGGTTCAAGTCAAAATAAAGTATAAAAGAGATAAAGCAAAAAATAAAAATAAAAATAAAAAAGGTAGGAAGGATACTGGGGGAATAGGCAAATGAAGGAGGCGCAGCGGAAGTGGCGACATGAAAGGCACAAGTGAATGCATGAGCCACATCCGGCCATAGGAGGCGGTCGGTCCCTTTCCCCCGTATCAGGCGGTTGGCATGAGGAGATGACTCACCCGTTCGTCTTCGTCTCAATCTCGACTTTCGTCGCCTTCTCGGCGGTTCGTTCGCCAGCCTTGTCCGACTCTGTTCTCTCGGGTGGTGGTGATGCCATAACTGCCATTCGGGAAGTGTTGGGATGGTGGGGATGACAAGGGCGACGAAGATGGCAGGTTCCTAAGCGAACAGCACCGGATAGATGAGGCGAAGTGTAAATCGAGGCTGCTGCGGTGTGCTGTAAAAAGGCGGAAGCGACGTTGGGAGTAAATCCGTCAATGGTTGTAGACGTCGGTATGCCTCTCGCAGAATAATAGTAACTGAACGACAGCGACTCGATGATCGCGCATGCATCAAGTCGGCGCAGAGTACGGATCAGGGATTTTCAATGCGAATACCGATAGTTCGCGACGTCAAAAGCGTGGTGATGGTTGTCTTGCGCGTCGTCGCAAACGCAATACAAGCTTCAAATGCGACGCGGCGGGAAGCGACGATGATGAATGATTAAAGCGTATCAAATAGACGAAGAAAAAAAAAAATAAGCCGGAAATTTTCGGAGTTATGTCGTCGATAATGAAAACCTGATGATGAGTGGTGGTGGTATGCGGGAAACTGGTGTGACTTTTTTGGAGGGTTCGAAAAAAAAGTCGCGACCTGCGACCGGCGGAGAAAAAAAAAGCGCGTGCACGTCAGTGTTTTTGAACCAGGTCGGCGGCGCGTCCTATTTATGAGGAAGGTGTTTGGCGTGGGCCGTTGGCGTTGGGGTCCACTCCGAGTGGTCGGGATCAGTGACCCGGGGGGGGGGTTAGGTGGCCTTTTAACGGGGCAGTGGCACCGGTTAAGCAAGAAAGTCGTGGTGGAATAGAAGGGAATGAGGCACGGAGGAAAAGAGGAAAAGAAAAGAGCAAGAGAGGAAAACGGTCCAGCCACTCACGCGTTCTTCTTCGAGGGTGACTATATGGGGCACCGGAAGTGGTCAGTGCTTAGCCAGGATCAACGGGAGAGCTCGGAGAAGGTACGAAGGATAAAGTACCTTTTCTTTTCCCGTCCAAGACAAGGTGAGGGTGAGGTGAGGAGAGGCGTGAGGCGAGTGAAGCGTGTATGGGTGGGTATTGGCGGATAGGAGGGGGAGGGAGGGAGAGAAAAGGGAAAGAGGGAAGAAAAGGGAAGAAAAGAGAATGGGAAGAAGAAAAAAAGGTGGAAAGGAAATAAAAATAAAAGTACTGTCGCATGATTGGGGGACACCTTGCATAAAATTGCATAATTCTGCAATGACCCCGACTATCAGCCAATCAGCTTACTTTGTTATGCCGCAAGGGGGGTGACATAAGTTGGTGGGGATACTACCTACTTAGTGTACTCGCGAAGAGACTAACTTCGTAAAGGTGGTCACCCCCCTTGTGAGGGAAATGATGACGCTGGGACTATACTTTGTACCTAGGTAGAATACGCGTGGCTGGGTACCAAGAGGTGGCGGAGATTTCTTGTTCTATAGGTACAGGGAGTATAAAGCACGAAGTACACGATAAATCACTGGTTAATAAGTTATTATGTAATAATTCATCTATACTACGCCGCCTTTATTTTACAATTATAGTGTTTTAGGCAGTTGGATTCAGAGTCATAGTATAGGATATAATATATTAAGATCTATAATATTACGTGCGATTTTCTATATAATATATACATACATAATAGGCATGGTATAAATACAGCTTAGCGGTGGTGTTATAGCCCTCGTAGAATATAACGTGTGATTTCTTGATATTAACATATGATGTCCCTATTGAGTCCTAGTAATTATATTGTACACTCTTCACTTACACTTACTTAAGGTCCACTTCCACTCAGTTGCCTTCGACAACTACTCAAGAGACATTGAAAGACAACCCTATTGGATTTGAGTAAACTGCTCGAGGAGTCCAAAATTTAAAAGACCACCTGCATCAGTCCCAATGGGATACTTATTTGCAACCATTGGCCAGTCGTAATGGCTAGTACGACGAAATACGGAGTATAAACGAAGCTGCGACATGGACCCGGTGGCTGGTGGTCTGTACTTCGTACATGCAGTAGCAAAGGTTGTGGGCTTGGGGCTCGAGCTTCAATGGACAAGACCAACTTGTGAACAGTTCATGGTTTAACATGGAGTTATGTCCTTTAAATGTCAAATCACAGTCCGTAATAAGCTAATTGTCTAAGGAGGTTCCCTTAAGAATAGTTGCTTTCGAGATCCATAAAGAATAGGCCTTACTAGGGAGCCAGTAGACATACCTATTTTGCCAGTAAATGGGTGGGACTTGCCAAGCATAATAAGCTACCTAGGTACTAACCCATTTTTATGTATATCTTAAGTAGAGATATACTCTAGTAAGCAGGCCGTGTTTATTAACCTGGAAATCAACAGGTATTTTTATTATTCCTTCCTCTCTATAGCTCTGGCTTTTGGGTTACTAGAATTTCAGACGGTATCTTGAATGAGTTCATTACATGTATTTTTTTATTTTAAGCTAAGAAGAAACGAAAGAAAATGGTCTTGCAACGACATAACCAAAGAAATAAAAATAAACCCATCGATTACATAACCTATCACAACGCCCCACCTACCGATAAGGAAGTCGGTCGTCTGTGGAAATTTTACAGGACCCCGAAGAAAAAAAAAAGTCGGAACTCCCAGAAGCAGAAGCGGCACTGAATTATCAACACCACGGCGCAGACGATCGTTCGATCAGGCCTCTTTTTCTTTTCCCCCCGTCCTCCCTTCCACTTACCTTTTCTTCTCCCCCGGCGTTTGGTACTGTCACAAACCAAAATCACAATGTCTACCAAAAGAAAAGCGCCGGCGAGGTTCGCCCCTCCTACTGTCAAATCATCCATCAAAGTCTCCACCAAAGCAGCCATTGACGAGTCTCGCACCGCCGTCTCTGCGACCGATGCTCTTCAATCTGCGGTGAAACAGATCCCAGAGACAATCGACATCTCCTCCGACTCAAATAGCGACGATGCTCTGTCAGACGAAGAAGCCGATTCGGACGATGATGCCATGAACGGCGTGGAGGCCACAGAACCCTCCCAGAAGAACAAGTCATTACAACTACCGCCCAGCCAAGCCAATGGCGACGGTACATCTCACCTCCTCTCACATGACCAGACCTCTCCCAATGCCGATGCCGCCCCCGAATCAGACGCTGAAGCGACTTCCCCTTCCTTCGGTGAGCTGCTGCGCGGCACCATCGACGTCCCTGCCATCCTCTCTCAGCAGCAGCCCGACGGCGCATCCAGCAAAACCGTCACGCAGACCTCCCGCAACCTCGCGCCTCCTTCCCTCTCCTCCCTCAGCACCGTCCTCACGCAAGCCCTGCGAACCGAAGACACCGAGCTCCTCGAGTCCTGCCTCGAGGTCAACAACGTCGAATCCGTACAGCAGACCATCGAGCGCCTCGACAGCAGCCTGGCCGGCGTTCTGCTCACCAAGCTCGCCACTAGATTCCACCGCCGGCCGGGACGCGTCGGAAGCCTCATGATATGGGTCAAATGGACCCTCGTCGCCCACGGCGGCGCACTCGCCGTCCAACCGAAGGTGCTGGACCGGCTCGTCGGTTTGCAAAAGGTGCTCAACGAGCGATCGCGGGGCCTGCCGAGTCTTCTGGCGCTCAAGGGCAAGCTGGACATGCTGGATGCGCAGATGCAGCTCAGGCAAAACCGCCAGCGGAGGAGAGGCATCGAGGCGGGGGATAGCGAGGACGAGGAAGGTGCCGTCTATGTCGAAGGTGAAGAGGAGGAGAAGGAGGAGGAGGAGGACAGGAGCGCGATACTCCGTTCGAGGGGAATTGGCGGCATCGACGACGACGAGGATGGCGCGCCTGTGACGAATGTTTTCGTCGGCGAGTCTGACGTGGACGATGACGATGACAGCGTGGTGGTGGAGGAGGAGGGCGCCGACGACGACGGCGAGGACGAGGGAGACGAGCCGCTGGACGAGGACGATGTGGATCACGACGATGTGGAGGATTCTGCGGACGAAGACGATGACAGCGATGCCGAGGCAGCACCGCCCGCCAAGTTGCAGAAGGTCACTCGTTCCTTCGGGAAGAAGCGTTAAAAAGCACCCCACCTTTGTCGCATATGGCCACTGTACTTATTGGTGCTGATTCTGCCACATCACACAGCCCATCTTTGGCCGTGGGTTTTTTTTTTCTTTCACTTTTTGCTTTACTTTTTCGTCGCGCGGCATGGAACCTGTCAGGCAGCACTGCTGGGCGTCGACATACAGGTAGACTTGTTGGTCTATAATGACTCTCTGAATTGTTCATATTCCGTCACACAATTTTCGACGTCCTTTCTACCACTTTGCAGCGAATCCAAAAGCCAACTCCTCAGCTGCTTCTACTGATTTTTACAACATTCCATGGGCTCACGAGCTGATAGAGGCCACCAATAGGCTTCTAAAACGGCTTCCGATTGGCTTCCGATAGGCCTCCGATATTCCTGTGGGCTGTCGTCCCTGCAAACTCGAGCTATTGGAATGCTGGAAAACAACGAATAAGATGAATGGTAAAGGCAGGCAGGGCTGCAATGGCGTTTTTCATCATGTGCAGTCAGCACCGACGCCCTTTTACCCCTCCTTAACCATTTCGGAGAATTCCCATGTCGGGGTGCGGCTGAGGCAGGCTGAATTCTGATAATCTCGCCTACTATCGCGAAAGGGGTCATGGCGCAGCACCGGTCTAGGCGGCCTCTCAACTCCTGTCTCCTTGCATATAGCCTCATCGATTGATTAACCTCATTTTCGACCTAGCTCCTCTTTAAAATCACTCCATCTGTTAACTCGGGAAAATTCCAACATCTGCGCCGCCTGGCCTATAATCTATCATCTCAACTATTAACCATAATGGATGAACGCCCTCCTCAACAGTTCGAGTACATCGAAATGCCCTTGCCATCGGCAGAAACTCATATCAGGTTGCTAAAGATCCAACCATCTCGTCTCACAGTCAAGGGGTCTGGTTCTGATGAAGATCACTTCTCGAGTCGCATCGTCTGCGAAATGACCACTACCGACATCAGGAATCCCGCCCCTTACAAGTGTTTGTCGTACAGATGGGGTCCCGATGACAGGAACCATTGGGTCGAGGTTGCAGGCACTTGGCTCCCGATCACGGAGTCTCTTGACACGGCCATACGCCACCTTCGGCCTAAAGAGGAGGCTCTCACCATCTGGATCGACCAGATCTGCGTCAACCAGGGGGACGGCGTCGAGAAGGGGCACCAGGTCGTCCTTATGAAGGACGTGTACAGCAAGGCCGAGCAGACGTTGACATGGCTCGGTCCGGCCGCCGACGGTTCCGACGAGCTCATGGACTGCTGGGCAGACATCGGGGGCACTGCGCAACGGCTGGGCCTCGACTCCTATTTCACCAAGGAGAGGCTACCCCTCCTGTACACCAAGGTGCGGAACGAGGACCCGGATGACGAGCTGACCCGGGAAATACAAAAGCTCCTTGAGAGATCACGCCCCATATTCGACTCGGTCCTGGAGGCCATGGTCGCCTGGGACAAGAGGCCCTGGTTCTCCCGCGTCTGGGTCGTCCAGGAAGTGGCCCTCTGCGCCAACGCCGTGTTTGTGTGCGGGCGCAAGGTCGTCCCCGTCGACGACGTCGCCCTCGCCGGTTTCATCTTCGACTCGGCCATGGCCGATGTGGCATCGAGCATTGACAAGGAGCGACAGAGCCTCATCGCCGCGGTCATGGACCGTCGCACCGTTGCCATCCTCGGCACGCGGCGCCGCCGCCAGAGAATGCTCCGCCGCGAGAGCGAGGGAGATACGCTGTTCAATCTCATCCGAAAGATGTTCGTGGAGCACGATTCCCAGGCGACGCTCGCCCGAGACAGGATCTACGGGATGCTGGGTATAGCGGTCGATACCGACCAGCTGGGCATTGTGCCCGACTATACCAGCAAGTCCTCGGTGCCCGCCCTGAGGGACGCGGCGCGGTCCATGATCCGGAACGGTCGGGTCGAGCTGCTCTCCTTCTCGCAGTTCCCCAAGGAAGCCGGACGGCCGGGTCTCCCCACCTGGGCTCCGGATTGGCGGCCGGGGCTTTCTCGATCCTTCTACACCGTTTTCGAGTACGCGGAAGATCATCTCCTCGCAGCGGCGGGGACCACTTCTGTCGATCTTCTCCCGACTTCGGATCCCAACGTGCTCGGGCTAGGCGGCTACTTGGTCGACACGATCGAGGCGACGGGCACCACCTGGCAAGCAGATGGCGATTACTGGTCGTACTTTCTCCTTCTCAAGGAAATCAAGGCCTTATGCGAGACGTCGGCGGCGAAAAACCAACCCATCTACGCCGACGACGCCCGCCGCGCCGAGGCGCACTGGCGCGTACCCGTCGGGGATTTGTTCTGGACGGCCGAAACCGATAGCATGCGCGCACATTCCCCCGCCGTGCGAGATGCTTATGATGACTGCATGGCCGTGCTGGAATACATACTCGAGTGGCAGTCTCTCACACCCGAGCAGCTTGAAAGCCACGATGCCGAGTTTCCTCGTCGTCGACAGCCGGCGAGTAGGTACAGGAGCAACATGGGCGCCATGACGGGGAAGAAGACGTTCTTGACGCAAAAGGGTTATGTTGGGATGGGACCCAGTGATGCGGCCATGGGAGATGCGGTGGTGGTGCTCTGCGGCGGTCGTATCCCGCATGTCTTGCGGCCTCTGAAGGACGGAGATAGGTATACTTACGTTGGTGAGGCGTACTGCGACGGGGTTATGGACGGGGAGATTCTGTCGCTGAAGGAGAAGGAGTACTTTTACATCATTTGATTTGAACCGTGCTGGGGAGTGGGAGGGCCCCGGAGGGAGGGATACAGGCCGAGGTCATAGATATGTCCGACCTATTTGCAGAAACCCGTGGCGGCATCTTGTTTTACTATTACAGGGGTAATGTCCTGTTGAATGATTATTATTGCGAGTTGCAGCGTCGTCCCCAGAGTACCAAGCACAGGGAACTCCTCAGGGGTTCCTTTTGTAATCCACGTATATGCCACGTCGGGCTTCGGGGCTCCATCTAATTGATGGTTACTCGTAAGGCCTTCAGCATTGAGTCGTCCGTCTCGTTATATGCTCTTAAGCAACTATAGAGAGAGCAGCGGTACTATGGTGCATTAAACTATTCCGTTGAACGGCGTTTGTCTTGGCGAGTCGAGTTGATGGCGGTAAAAGAGTCCTCCGACCCTGAGCTGAATATGGCGTATTGAGTTGGCGTAGAGTCTGCAGGAGTCATTACGGCTGTAAGTGACCGCGTGAAGTGGTAAAAACCGCGGACAATTCTGATTGACCATTATCGTACCATGGATTGTATCCTTAGGCTCTGAATAAACACTCTTGAATAATGAAAATATACCAATGATCTAGCAGCCGGCTGCCGTAGCCTACAATATAGAGCCCGTGTTTATTACTGGTTTAAGGAGAGCTTAATGCTTAGCTGAACAAGTCAAAGTTAGATCCGTGTTTAACAGACCATATTCGACATTATTCAACGCACTATCAAAGAATTTACGAGATAATAACTCTTATACAATACCTAGTTCTCTTGAATACTATCTTATTTCTTCCCTTGCTATAGTGAGATAGTGAATTTTTTGTGCTTCTGCTAGATACCCCTTTTCCAGACAAGTACAGTGATTCAAGTCTTTCTAAGAAAACCAAACAGTCATTTTACCCCCAAATAGGGCCATATCGTCTGTCTTCTAACGTTAATTCTAACAGCAACCAGGCAGAAGCTGTATCTGTAGTCAATGGCTACGCTGAAAAAGTCAGAGGATCAGCAAGACCCCATACTCACTGACACCGAGCTTGATTCAACTTCCTGTCTAAAGCTTCGGCATAGGAGAGAATTCCGACTTGCCAACTCTACGGCTTTCAGTTACAGTTGGCAGTTTCTTTTACATGCTTATAATAAAACCAACTTGTTGGTTTCACTTGGGGTTATACTCAGTGATAAAGTACACATTGTAGTTTTTCATGACTTTTATATTATTAACTTATCACAAAACCCACAAAACACAGTAAGTCATGTTCCTGAATTACCAAGTTCTGTGCTTTCTACAGGCACTATATACTCAATCTCAGCTAGTTAGTTAGACGTTTCGATGAAACAGAAGGACCGGTGCTTATAGCCTAGATCTGCCGCCAAATCATGGGACCTTCCCAGTGGCTCCGATATGATGAATATATTATATCACAGCCTTAAACAGTAGCGTATTCCTTGCTTGATAGTTACAGCCAGGGGTATGCAGGCTACGGCGGGAAGCATTGAACTCTTACATCAATATTTTGACCCGCCGACGACTTTTACTCAACCAACTACAAGCGCGTGTGCAAAAAAAAAAAAAAAAAAAAAACCAGTCCGGCGTCCTCGGATATAGAGTTCGGTCTCTGGTCCGCTGTGTTGTGATCGGGGATTCCCGTGGGCCGTAGCTACACTAGCCGGGCCTCGACAACAGTGGGCCCTCGTTCCGTGGGTACCGGAGTGCCTTCTGCACGGCTTCGCTAAAGTTTGACAAACCGTGCTGCGTCTATCCGCAGCTTCGTTACCGAGAATGGTCGGTTATAGTGGGTAGCGGGGAAAGAATCACGTATTTATCTAGATCGTGGACTGCCAAGGACACCTAGCATCTCATGGCTCTCAACAACACCCCAACCAACTCAACTCCAGCTTGCGGGGGATATAGCCAGAAGACAGGGGAGCGTGATGCTGGAGCGGAGTAGCACAGCTGCACAGGCACACCTCGGTTTGGGAACGTGGGGGTGACAGAAGAGACGGAAGGGGGCGGCCGAGTGGGGGAAGTTGTGAGCTACGAGTCCAAATGCCTCTACGTTGTACGTTGTACAAATAATCGTCGTCAGGGAGCAAATGGGGGCATGTGGCACTTTCGGTCTTGGTGTTCTGGTTCTGTATTCTGTAATCGCCAGCCTCTTTTGTGAAGAAGCCTCCAGCCTCCAGCCTCCAGCCTCCTAGAGGGGTTTCTCTCGTCGAGTCGATATTCCCTATTCAGAGGGGTTCCTCGTTCTGGACAAGGTATTCTTACTTCGTAGATGCAGTTCGAAGAGACTCCAGAAATAATTACCTACTTGTTATATGACTGGACTACCTACCTACATATGTGCGGGATTTCGTTTAGTGGGAAGGGGGACGAGGCCGCACTAAAGGACACTACCTAGGTCCTAGAGGACGTGGGAGGTTTGCAGCCCTAGCGTCGATCGCTGTATTCTTCTACACTACCTAGTATTGAGCGCATCTGCTGCTAACACGGTTCGTCAGAGAGGGGGGAAGGACCCAATTCGTACATCGAGTCTCAACAAAACCAACTGGTGGGAATTGCCAAGGAATTTATGACTGTGCACACCCGGTACCGGTACGAATTAGCTCTATGTATTCGTACGTTGTGCTCCGTACCTTAGGTACTCCGTATGCTCCTTGACGTCACCACGCACCAATTACTCGGCTCTGTACAAGTGAAGGAAGCAGCTGGTGAAGCTGAAGCTGAAGCTTCCTTCCTCTGCCTTTTCCTTCCCCCTAATTTCTTCATCCCGTTGTGCTTGCTCCCTCCCACTTCCTCGACATCCATATCCACCATATCCATATCCATATCCATGCCCAGCCACCCACCCACCCATCCCCGCCTCCCCGACAAGACGTCCAGACCTGCGTCTGCTTGCTGCTGGTTGGTTTTCGCCTGCATCTGCACCGCACCTGTTCATTGCTTTCCATTCTTTCGCTTGTCAACACCTGCGGGATTTCTTGACGATTCGAGACGAGAACTGTCAACGTGACCAGAAAGACATCCCTGCTCGGAGGAAAACCGAAGGGAGGGAAGGGAGTACAGAGTATAGGTCGATCAAAATCGGCTGAGAGGAATCTTGCCGTCAGACCGAGGACAACCGTCAATCAGGATCCGCGAAACGAACCCTCCACAAAATCCCCCTCTAGTCATGTCGAATGCACTCCAAGCACGCGCTACCACCTCGGCGCTGACCGCAGCCGCGAAGTATGCCCTTTCTTTCCCTCTCTCTTCCTCTTCTGCTTCTTCTTTGGCTTCTGTGGGCAGTGGCGGCAGCGGTTGTATTCGTACTTTTAAGACAACCAGCACTTTTGCTTCATCTTCCGTTCTTGGCCCTTCTTATATCCGTCCTTTCTCCCCTCCGTCACCCGCTTCATCTTTCTCCTCCTTTCCACCCACTCTCACTCCCCTTGGCTTGCATAGTCGGAGATTCTACTGTAGCTCGGACTCGAACAGCTCTTCTCATTCCAACCCACCACCACCACCACCCCACCACCATCATCATCGCCCTACTTTCTCTTCTTCTTCTTCTTCTTCTCAACCACCCTCCACGCCTACTTCCTCCGAACCCCTCGCCATGCCTGAAGAGGACATCACCAAATACCTGCGCCAGTCGCACGCGCGGGTTTTCGAGCACAATCGCGCCTGGGTGACCGAGCAGACCAAGAAGGACCCGGAATTTTTCGTCAAGCTCTCGGCCGGCCAGAAGCCCGAGTACCTATGGATCGGCTGCTCCGACTCGCGCATTCCGGCCGAGCAGATCACCGGCCTCCAGCCGGGCGAGGCCTTCATCCACCGTAACATCGCCAACCTGGTGAACAACATCGACCTCAACGTCATGAGCGTGATCCAGTACGCTGTCCGCCACCTTGAGGTCAAGCACATCATCGTCTGCGGCCACTACGGCTGCGGCGGCGTCAAGGCCGCCATGACCCCGCAGGACCTCGGCATCCTCAACCCCTGGCTGCGCAACATCCGCGACGTGTACCGCCAGCACTCAGAGGAGCTCGACGCCATCCCCGACGAGTCCGCCCGCTACAACCGCCTCGTCGAGCTCAACGTCATCGAGCAGTGCCGCAACGTCATCAAGTCGGCCGCCGTGCAGCAGTCTTACTCGAAGAACAAGTATCCCATCGTCCACGGCTGGGTCTTTGGCCTCGACGATGGCCTACTCAAGGATCTGAACATTGGGTTTGAGGACATGCTCGCCGAGATTCAAAAGATTTACAACCTCGAGGATAGTTAGAGCATTTACCCCTTTCCCTTACCCTTTTTTCTTTCTCTCCTTCCTTTTCTTTTGCATTCCCATCGTTCTATACGTTCCAACAGAACAAAACACCATGTTAGGCCGGCGTTTGTGTATACACGTATAGTGTCGGCATGGCGGGTATACCGGGATGTTCCGTCGGTTTATTAAAAAAACAACGAGAGTTCATCATCCCCCAACGTTTATATGAATTTTTGGAATCACCGATCAAAGTTTGTGCCGAAGGAGAAACCCATTTCCCCACGGCTTCAGCGATGCTAGTCTCTTATCAATTTTTTCAATTCCAAGCCAAGATTACCGCCAACCGGCCGCTAGCCAATACCACTACGTCGGTTTTTTTTTTCTTTTTTCTTTTTTCTGGGGGTTTTTTTCTTCTTTCTTTTTTCCCCTTTTCGTGATCGCATTCGGTCTTGTTCCCTTCTTCCTTCTTCCTTGGTTTTTTTCTTTTTCTTTTCCTCCTTTTTTATTATTCTTTTCCCCTCTCGTCTTGCAGCAGATGGCAGTCAAGCAGCTGCAGATCATGAGCCCCGGCATTTCAGCAGATCAGTCATTCACCGGGGGGGATCCAAGTTGAAACCTTTTTCATCGTTCCGCTTCCACTTCTACCTCGATACACTAACCAACAGGTCTTACTTTTTCTCTCTTTTTTTTTTTTTTTTTTTTTTTTTTTTAAAAGGCTTCCGTCTCACTCAAGGTCCCATCTCGACATTTACATTGCGGGAACAAAAGCCAGGGTAAAAGGTCCTGGCGGTTTCGAACCAAAAACCTCGGACCATCTCATCTACGGAGGCATGTAGGGGCATGACCAAATACCGGTGGCGTAGTCAAGCTTTACCCCCTAGCGCTACCACCTCATCCCCTATTCAGCAGGTGACATTGTCTCCCAAGACGATCCAAACACTTATCGAGCGAATGAGCTGCGGCCCGCCATAAGCTCTGCCGATGACCGAGCTTTCGTGACCCTACTAGCTAGAGCTTACAACGTACGAACGTTTGGTCCCCAGTCAACTTGGTAGCTGACCCTGGTTCTGGAGCCGAAGCTGCAGCTGCAACATTAGTAGGACAATGCGAAAGATGGAGGGGTGAGACGCAAATATTTTGAGTCCAAGCTACGATGCATCATCATACATCAAGCTCCTCGTGTGCTTATAAGGAGGTCGCTCGCCCCAACCCAGTGGCACAGGGGACTGAGAACCGACCGACATCCCTCCCCCCTCTTTCGCACGGAGTAATCATCGCTCCCCGTGTGCCCCTTGCGTCTCACGGGTTGGGCGAATGCTTCTGTAGCAGGTTAGTCCTTGATTAACTCGAGTGAGCCAGCATGAAGTCGGTGTCGGTACACATGAGCGGTCGCTTCAAGGCGACCTGCTTGGCCTCCCTTGCCGGAGTAGCACTCCATGTCACCTTCGTACACGCCATCCCATGCACTCCTCCCGGAGATCCTTTCGAGGTCATTGATCCCCAAGTCTGGGTCAACCCCCACGACATGGTCTGGGACGACTTTGTGCCGCCACCCGGGGTCAACTGGGCCGATCCCGACCGGGCCGGGTCGGAGCGAAACTTCAACATCGCCTTGGTGGCCATCGACTACCCGAACATGCCCTTCGTCGTCACCCAGCCGGTCCAGTCGACCATCTTCAAGAATCCCCAGCCCATAGTGTCGGACTGGAACATAACGCGCGCCAACGTCGCCAGGTTCTACCAAGACCTTCTCAACACGCCAAGCCATCTGAATCGGAATCACACACTGCATGAATACTGGATGGAGGACTCGGCTGGCCGCTTTGGCGTCGACCTGACCGCCTTCGGTCCGTACGAAATGCCCGCCAACTCGTGGCAATATGGCATCGAAAACCGCATGAATCCGGGAGGGTGTCCGGCAGGAGCAAGCTGCAACCTCAACATCCGCACTGACGCGCTCCGCGCCTGGCGAAACGATGTAGGCGACGAGACGGCCGATTCCTACGAGCTCGTATTCATTACGTCAGCCGGCCAGGACGAGTCGTCCACGTGGCAAGAGTTCGGGGAGATGCTATTCGGAAGCCCGGACGAGGTGACGGACGCGTTCGGCCCTCCCGCGGGCAACGGGCCCAACTTCGCCAGCACGCGGTACGTAAACTGGACGTCTTGGGCCTCCGCGGCCACGCTGTGGCCCAACGCAGGCAGCGGGTCGTCGACGCAGGCCGAGAGCTCGGGCATGGGCGTCTACGCGCACGAGCTGTCGCACCTGCTGCGCATCGCGGACAACTACAACAACCCGTACGGCGAGCCGGCGCAGCGGTCCTACACGGGGCCGTGGTCTATGATGTCGCGCGGCAGCTTCAACGGGCCCGGCGGGCCGCACTCGCGGTGGCAGATCCCCGCGCTGCAGGGCGGCGCCATGGGGTCGCTGCACACTGTCCGCGACAAGCTGCAGCTCGGGCTGGCGGACCGGTCGAGCGTGCTGACCGTGCGGCGGTCCGAATTGGCGGCGGCGCGAGGTGGTGTCCTGGTGGCGGATGTGACGGCGCGGTGCGTCGCGGTGGGAGAGGGCGAATTGCTGGGGGTCCGGATCGCGCTGGACGAGGACGGGGACCGCACGCCGGCGTGCGACGCGCGGACGACGCCGTTCTGCGACGGCGGGCCGTACGACTACTACGAGGTCGAAGTGGTGGACCGGATGGGGGCCGACTCGTTCCAGCCCGACGCGGGGGTGCACTTGTCCAAGACGAAGGAGAGGGACGTGCTGCCGTTCCAGTGGACGGTGGATGCCAACCCGCAGGACGTCGGGCTGGTGGACTTTGCGCTGCCGGACGGGACGGAGAGGTATGTCACTGTTGGGGATTATCGGCAGTTGGCGGATGCGCTGTTCCATGCCGGCACGCGGTCGGGGAGTGCGTTTGAATATGTTGACGCGGCGAATGGGTTGCATTTTTACGTGCTGGCGAAGCAGCGGTCGGAGGAGGGGGAGCTGCGCTACTCGGTGGCGGTGCGGTCGTTGGAGGCGGCGGCGGCGGGTCGGGGGGAGGCGGGCGTCGAGGTCGGTAGTGGGTTCGTGACGGATGCGAGGCATAATAGGCCCACTGAGAAGGGGGTGACGTGCTCGTTCGAGGTGAGCAACACGGGGTCGTACGATGAAACGGACGCGGCGGTGGAGGCGCGGTGGGATGTGTTCCGGCTGAGTGCCGAGGTGGAGGGCGAGGGATGGCGGGTTGAGGTGCCGAACTCGGTGTTGGCGGTGGAGTTTGGGGGGAAGAAGGGGGTCGCGAAGGTCGCGATTGGGGCGGATGCGGATGCGGCGGAGGTGGCGGAGGTGAGGTTGACGGCTAGGTCGGAGGTTGATGCGGACGTTGTTGCGTCGGGGGTCTGCCGGGTGAATAAGTCGTGATGGAGGGGGTTGTATGGGTGGGGAGGGGAAGGGGGGGGGGGGGGGGTTTCTTCTGTCAATGCCATATGATATAGATACGTATTGTTGAAATCCATTGAATACACGTTTGGACAGGAGGATTTGCATCAAGTCTATGTCTACATATTATTATTCGCGCCGCTTGGCGCGCTATTAATTAATTACGTCTTGATTCGTCCGTCTTGAACGCATCCCCTTTTATACAATGTCCATGGGTCGACCCCCTTGAACCCCTCCCTACCTTACTTGGCGTTCTGAGACCCCTTTTGCGCGTCCAGAGCCTTGAAGGCAGCAGTACAGGCGCCAAAGCTCTGCAAGAGGAGAGCGGTGGGGATGATGATCCAGGGGGCGTTGAAGGCGACGTAGTAGCCGTAGAAGAAGCGCGCCTCGGGGCGGGAGTAGGCGATGCCCTGGGTGGCTTCGGCGAACTGGGCGATGGCGAAGTAGAGGACGCAGCCGTAGAGCTGGCCGGTGCTGACGAGGGCCTGGGCGGGGTGGCGGAGCGGGCACTGGGTGACGACGGCGAAGGCGCAGAAGAAGGAGAGGGGGCCCCAGGCCCAGGCGGTGATGGCTTCCATGCAGACCATGAAGGGGTCGGAGGTGAGGTAGCGCGAGTCGGAGAGGGAGTATTCTTTCCAGAGCTGGGCGAGGGTGGCGTGTTGGGAGGTGATGGAGGTGTGGTTGAGGACGAAGTAGCCTGAGGGTTGTCAGTATTTTTTCTTCTTCTTTTCTTCTTATTTTTTTCTTATTTTGCTCTCTTGACTTTGTTGCTCGCTTTCAGAACAAAAAAA